TATTGGATGGAATACGCAGGAGAAAAATATACAATGCGAGACGAAACTACACTGATGATATTTTGTATCATAACATATTTTGGTAACTTAAAATAAGGTATAACTTTTTGATCATTTTTTAATTCTGTTTTTCTTTTACGTTCAATAGGAAAAACGTATCTTACCTAGCTAATACATTCTCACAAAATTAAATGAAACTAGAGGTTGTGCGCTTACACACATTCAGCAAAGTCTTTAAATAGAAATTAATTTAAATAGAAAAAATAAAGCAAAGTATGACAAAAATATAATAAAAGCGTCCTTTAAGGATTCATCAAACAACTGTTTCCAAAATTATTGGTAAAGTTTCACGTGCAATTACCAGCAAGAAAAAGTATTGGATTAAATTCCCTGCTACAGGCGATATGTTTAACATAGCTTAAGATGGGTAGTACATCATGCAATACCCATTGTTATTGGTGCAATTGACCACTCATGTAAGATTTTTAAAACCTCATGTACATGGTGATAAATATATTAATAGAAAAGGAGTTTCCTCAATAAATGTACAAACCACGTGTGGCTGTAGAGAGATGTTTACCAGCGTAGATGCAACATGGCCTGGATCTGTCCACGATTCTAGAATATGGTACAATTCTTCTATTTATACTATTATGTATAACAATCAAGAAAATGTATGTCTTTTGAGCCATTCAGGATAAGCTGTAACTCCTTGGATGCTTACACCATTTAAAAATCCGTCCACTAATATTGAAAGCTATTTTAATAAAATACATTCGACAGAACTTGTTATTATTGAAATATGCTTTGGGCAGTTGAAATGGAGATTTCCAATGTTTTATATTACAGTTCGACTTAAAATTAATAGAATATGTCGATTTATTATATGTGGATTTATTTGACATATTTGTACGATCCATAAAAAGATTTTTAACAAATTAATAAAGAAGAAGAACCAATTATGCCTGCATTTTATGATGAACCAAATAACGCTGAAATTAGACACCGAGGTATGCAGTTTCATAATGAAATTGCAAAACTAATGTACAGACAACGTTAAAACAACATTATAGGCGATCACCCTGTATACAGGGTGTATACTTAAGTTTTTATTTTGGAGTTATTTTAAATGCTTGAATATTGTTGTGCAAAGTAATCTTCTACAAATTGGTCTGCAGACCCTGCGGCTTTTCTACAGCTATGTTGAGCTATGGCAGCTTTTTCCTGAGCTTCAGCGGCCTTTTCTTGAGCAACAGCACTATTTATTTGTTTAAGAAGTAATGTTTTTTGCATTTTTTTTTTATTTATTCGTTGTCATCACCAGAAGGGGATCTGCATCATCTCTACAGGTGCCTGCAGTGACTTCCCCTAAAAACGTTTTCCGTAATGTAGTGCAGTAAATACTTCTACGTCAAGAAAATACTACCGGAACTGGCCAGATGCTTTATGATGTAGCAGATACTTCGAAGTAGATCCTTAAATTTGCAGTATTAGCATCTACTTCGTTTTTATTTATACAACTCATGTGGATTCTGGAAAATCTGTTGCTAACTTCAGTCAGTGACTAAAGCGGTATAAAGCCATAGCTTGTCAATTTAACAATGCATGATTTATATTAAAACGTAGAATGTATTATATATATATATATATATACATATATATATATATACAGTGTGACCCATTTATTGCGACTCAACCTTGTAAAATCTTTATTTATTGTGCGATATTAACAATTTAACAAATGGGTCACACTGTATACATATGTATTAAAAAAGTAACAAAAAATTCAAACCTTTACAAAATTTTATTGTATAAAACTACATATATCTTGATATTCTTCTAGACATTTTTCTCTGAAGGTTTTTAATTTTAGAAAAACTCATATTCTTTAAATCACTGGAACTAAAATCAATGTTAAACTCAGCCATCAAAATATTTCTTATTTCAAAGCTCATAATCGAATCCATTCCTAAATTTATTAAAGAAGAATTCATATCGACACATGCGGTAGATTTAAATCCAAACAAGGCCCATAGCTGTACGCATGTACGATAATGGGCGTTTTAAAGGTGGGAGTGGGAAAAAATAGTAAAGGGCGATTATAAAATACTAGGCTAGTTCTTTTATTCGCCGTAAAATAAATCAGTGTTCTTCCGTTAGAACTATGTTTTTTATTACAATATAGCCTTTAATATAATATACATATCCAATATACTAATAGACTAAGATGTATGTATATAATACTAATATGTATATAATATCTTGAAATTGCATTTATTGTTCTATTAAATAATTTAATTTAAATTATTTTGAAATAATAATAACATGGCGGATTTGTACAACATAAATATAATTTATGCGCCGCCTAATGTTACAAAGAATTCCGACGAATTAAGCTAGATGAAAAGAAGTGTTTGTATTTTACTTAAGCATATAAATTAAAAATAAAATTTAATTTTCCATAACAAAAAATAAACTAAACCAGTTTTGTGACGAAGGTGATTTGGGGACACTAAAAAAAAGTAATACCTACTTCGTTACACAGTTTGTTGATGGAATATAGGATCTAAGTTTGTACAATAATTTACAATACATTTCATTAAAGACAAACATTTATTTTGATTAAATCTTAAATTAATCGCATTATCGGTAAAAAAACAAGAACGTTCCAACTACCGTTACAATTTTTGGCTAAAATTTATTATACAGGATGAGGCAGAGGAGTATTATGTTGAGTGAAGTATGTGGAAGTTAAACTTTGATCCCTTGGTCCATAGCATTTGACTTTCAGTCGTCAACATGGAGCTGGGGATGCTAGAACACCCGCGTACGAGTCATAAAAGTCAAATTTTGACATTTGACATTAAATTATATGCTCGTAATCGCTTGTAGTCTAACAAGATGGGGCCACAGCACACACAGCCAGCTCGTTTCCTGACTCCCATATTTAACAATTAGGTGACTTTTTATGGCCTCCTCGATCTCCTGATTTGTTATCCTGTGTCTATGAGGTCAATCTGTCAACAAATCAATGGCATCAACAGAGCCCTACTTTATCATTACAATTGTACTTTTACTACAGTTCTATACAATAAAAAGTAAAAAATTAATCAGTCAGTTTAATTAAAATCCACGCTCAAACCACGTCAACCCACTACAGCGTTGAGAGTCAACCGCTTGAGGCGAGAGAATTTAAGCTTGGGCTTGCTCTAATTGGTGGTTTTATATCACATGACTGAAGATGTAGTGGGTGGCAGTATGTGTTGCAGTGTGTGTAGAGCGTTTTTTTTGTTTTGATTCAGATTAAATTATGGCTTAAGGAATAATATGTGTATACACAAATTATTGTGATAACTATAACTTTGCTCTCTAATCGTCAAAGATGCAAAATTGAAAAATGGTTGTGTTGGTTAACCTTACCCTATTGAAAATGCCATATAGAACCATATAAAAAACACGTATCTGGATTCTATATGGTTTCTATCTGGTTCAATATAGGTATTTGAAACAGGCATTTCACTATAGAACCAGATAGAAGATTACATTATAGAACCAGATTAAAATACTCTAAAACACTATAGAACCAGATAGGGAAACCTATCTGGAAATACATATAGAACAGAAACCAGATAAACCAGATAAATCCATATACAACCATGTCTTTATAAAGACATGGTTGTATATGGATTTATCTGGTTTATCTGGTTTCTGTTCTATATGTATTTCCAGATAGGTTTCCCTATGGTTGAATATGGATTTCCATTTTAAAAATTTTCATATTCAACCATATAGGGAAACCTATCTGGAAATACATATAGAACAGAAACCAGATAAATCCATATACATCCATATACATGTCTTTATAAAGACATGTATATGGTTGTATATGGATTTATCTGGTTTCTGTTCTATATGTATTTCCAGATAGGTTTCCCTATATGGTTGAATATGAAAATTTTTAAAATGGAAATCCATATTCAACCATATAGAATCCGTAATGTAAACCAGGACTTTCCATATAGGACCTATAAAACCATATAGAACCAGATACGTTTCCTTATCGGATTCAATATGGGTTCTATATGGCATTTTCAATAGGGTAGCGACCAGTAGGTAACGAGGTCCACAAAGGAGACAACCCGCCTAAAGTCAGAACTCCCTTAAACAAATCTTGACTTGGGTACCATCCTATTGGATTGTCATATGAACATAATATTATTAATTTACTCCTACATTGACGAGCTGTGACTTTATAGAGTTTTAGTAACAGGCTGAAATTAACAACAGTGGCTTTTGGGAATTTTAGTCACGGGCTGGAGTTAGCTATTTATGAATTTAGATTGGCTTTAAATTCTTATTTTTGTGCGTCGTAGATAAAGTATAGTATTAAACTTCTCTAGACACTCGAATTTATTATACACTCACTCGCAAGCTTCGCTCTTGCCCAATAAAACTCGTAACTAAAATGGCATTAATAAAACTTAATACATAATATACTATTATAATAGTAGGTATATATAGTATATATAGTTGTAAGCACATTTCTATCAAGATCCAATTATAATTCTTATAATTAAAATAAATTCTTTTATTATAAATAAATTAACCAGGTAAGTTAAAAAAGTGCATTTTATTCCGTATATACTGAATAATTAAATTTTATAAAAGTAGTTAAATAAATATATAAAAAATAGCTGTTTATTAATCAAGTGGCATTAATATTAATTTAAAATATCCAATTACCCAACTATCTCATTAGTTAACTTATCAATTTTATGTTAAAATGGGAAAAGTATTGCATTAGGAATTATTGTGTTTAACAATATATCATGTAATTTTATGGTTGCACCTGCATAAAGGAGTAAGATATGCAATTAAAAGAATATTCTCTTGCTGTTCTTTCTTAAGTTTAAAACCCATTAAATTCAGTTTCAACATAATAATAAATTTATCATTTACTTAAATTTAACAATGCATGATATTTATTAAAATGTAGAATGTATTATATATATATACAGTGTGACCCATTTATTGCGACTCAACCCTGTAAAATCTTTATTTATTGTGCGATTTTAACAATTTAACAAATGGGTCACACTGTATACATATATATTGAAAAAGTAACAAAAAATGCAAACTTTTACAAAATTTTATTGTATAAAACTACATATATCTTGATATTCTTCTAGACATTTTTCTCTGAAGGTTTTTAATTTTAGAAAAACTCATATTCTTTAAATCACTGGAACTGAAATCTATGTTAAACTCAGCCATCAAAATATTTCTTATTTCAAAGCTCATAATCGAATCCATTCCTAAATTTATTAAAGAAGAATTCATATCGACACATGCGGTAGATTTAAATCCAAACAAGGTCCCTATAGAATCCAGCACTGTAGTTATAGGATCCCTTTCTTCTGTGTAATCCTTTATTTCGTAAACACTACTGGAAACTATAGTTTCAGATTTTTGTAGCAGGTCATCAAGGGTCAATAAACAACTTTGGATACTTTGATGAGATGCATTCAAGATTTTTTTGGTACTGTTAGCTACACGTCCAACATCTCCTATAGGTCCCCATTGAATTGCCATTGCGGGTAAATTTTGTTGTTTTCGATTTTCACAAAGCATTTCTACAGCAGAGTTGGCAAAAGCATAATTAGCCTGACCAGCATTTCCCAAACTACTGACCATTGAAGAAAAAACAACAAAAAAGTCCAAATTTGGGCATTTTATCCTGCTTATTTTATCCAAGTTTTCGCAGACATATAATTTAGGAGCCACCACACTATAAAATTGTTCTTCTGTTAGCTTAAAAGATAAATCGTCTTCCAAAGCTAAGGCCAAGTTAAAAATTCCACCGATATCACCTAATTTATTTGATGTAATCATCAAAGCTTCACCACCCTCTATAGATGCAGCATTGTTGGTATCTAAAATAATTGTTGCACCTTTTTTAGCCCATTGTTTTAAATAAGCCGCCTGATATCCATCTTTTACGTGACTTCTCGAGTTAATCACAATTTTTTGAGCGCCTTTTTTTATCATCCAGTCAACCATTTCCAGTGCGAATCCACCCAAACCCCCAATTACTATGTAAACTTTATTTGAGTTGAAGAAAGTTTTAGCTATTGCTTTAACTAAATGGTTTTGGCCCTCGTTTACTTTAACAATAACGGAGTGTTCTTCTTTATTGTTTTGGAAGTATGAATTCAAGTTTTTGTGGGTTATTTCTGAGCGAGATTGCATCTCAGGGTTTACAAAGTCTGTATTAATAATTAGTTGGATCTCCTTATGGATATATTCAAGGTTTTTATCATTTAATAGGTCCTCAAGGTTAATTATTAAATCGTTTTTACGTTCTCGTAAATCATTTTCGTAGTTAATTTTTATAATTTTACCAAATTTAGTAACCCGATTAATTAATAAAGTATTTTCTCCAAAAACTTTGTTGAATATTATATCAAGTCCTTTACCTTTAGTTTGTTTTATTATTTGTTCATCCAATATTACCTTTTTATTGGTTAATATTATATTATCCCGTAATTTAGGAAAAATATTAACAAAACTATTTACATCTTCATCTTTCTCAATGCAAACATAAATATTTCTGGTAACTTTCAAAGCAAATTTTATAGCAGAAAAGGTATAGTAGTTGTTTTCAAAATAAATTAATATTGAATTATTTTCTACCAAATGCCCACAAATAAAAAGTCCATAAAAAGTCTAAAAACAAAATATAGTTAAGATTCCTTTAAATTGTTATAATAAACCATTCATACCATTGCCAAAGCTAAAGGCATAGATGAAGCCACAGATAAGTCCCATGATTCTGGAATACCCCAACTTAGCAAAGCATGTTTGTCTACATATGACTTTAACGCTCCTTTCGGGCAAATACCCATAATCTTTGAACCATTTTTATCAACTCCTGCATATTCTAACGCCAAATTTGTAGTTCTTATTGTTTGTAATTGCCACTTGTGTATAAAGGCGAAAAGAACAAGAACTTCATCTTGTTCAGACCTAAAATGTTGGATATTACATAAGGGATTTAATTTTTTTTGAAATATCTATACCTGTTAAATGATGATTCTTCCCGCCACAATAACTGTTGTTTTTCTTTGGATAAGGCCGCATACTTCACGTTCTTTAAATTTATGTCTTCAATATTCTTAAACCTGTAACTACCCCAAGTACAATTTTTATAAATATTAACAGTTAGATCCATATTAATTCTTTCTTCATAAAATCGAGAATTAAGGGAAAAATCTTCTGTATTTGTGTCCTTTATATAATAAATCCTAATATTCTGACAACAGTATTCTTCTCTAATTGAATTGAATAACCCAACTATTCCAGAGTTGCAATATGATGTCACTAAATACACCAAGGTTTTAGAATCGATTATGGCTGCTTTAAATTCATCCCACCAAGAAAAACTATTATCATGAATAGTTATTATTTTTTTAGTATTTTTATTAGTTTCTTGTTTTTGTCTTATTAGTACATATTCTTCATCTTTTATTAGATATCTTGATACAATAATATAGTTTAGTTTAGCCAAATAGCATTCCTCCTCCTTGGTTTTTATATTAGTGAAAATAAACGATTTCTTTGAAAGAAATGTACCTATATTATGTAAATGTTCCATGCTTTGTCTACAAAATTCCTTATGAAAAAGTAATTGTATATTTTTTAAAGATTGTGCTGTTATATCATCAACAAAATTAAATAATAAATTCGGTAAATATCTTGGATGAATTGCTGATTTAACAACCTCATGATCGTTAAAGTAGTTAAAGTCCCCGATACAAATTTTGGAAGATTTAAGATTATTTTCTACGACCGTTTGTAAAACATATGTAATTGCTTCAAATTCAGTTACATCTGGTAATTCATAGGGTGTAAAGGTGTACGATTTTAATAAAGGAGTAACCTTGTTTTTCTTATTTACGTTTTTTCCACTGCATTGTTTAATTTCCACTCCCCCACAATTAGCAGAGTTAAAATAATTATTATAATTAACCGTAAGTAATGTATTTTCATTAATCAATTTCTTGTGAAGAACCGGATTTATAATAATGTCTTTAATACTATTTGGAATATAGAAATCATCTTTCTGAAATATAACCAAATAAGTGACTATGGCATCTAAAAATGCTATCCATTTTTCGAGCCACAATATTTTTCCACAATGTGCTGATGTAAAATTGTACTGCATGACTCCTTGAAACTTATTCAGATGCCCATATCCACGTATTTTAAGCATTTTATAAAATTCATCTCGTGCCATAAAAGCATCTTCATCACTTTTTACAGAAGAGGCTTGTATAAACTCTTCATTTCTTAACATTGATATATACCCAGATGATACTTTTTTGTTTTTTTCCAAAATTTCGAATTCTCCCGTATTTTTAAAGATATTTACGACAAATTTTAATACATCGTTTTCGGTCAAAACAATCCCGTTTAATATTTTAAGGTTATTTATTTCCACAGCAAAATCTTCTTTTAATTTTCCATGCATAAAAGCAAATGCCTCCCACACCAATGCCTAAAAATTAAAAAGGTAACCAATTTGTGTAACCAAAATGTGGTTTAAAAAAATATATATTTTTTTAATTATACCAATGTAGATATTGTGAGCTTTTCAGGCAAAACAAGAAAAGTATAGCCAAAAAAAAAATGTCTGATCCCAAAATAGTAGTTATCAAAATAAAATATGTCCTTTATAAAAGGTTTTTCTATATTATGTTAACATCTTGATAAATCAAGATTGGAACTTCTGTACCACACTTAATATTCAATGTTTATCTCATGTCTAGAGATGGGATTTTAGGTTGCAAAATTTGTAAAAATAGGTACCTAAATAGGTAAAGTTTTTTCTTGTTCTAGATGAGAAAATTCTTAAATTAGGTACGTACTTTACGAACGAAAATAAGTACTGGAAAGACAGTGTTAGGTGGTAAACTTATTTAATTTATTATTGTATAAAATTTTATCAAACAAGTCTTGTCCAACACGATCTTCATGATTTAAAAATTTTGAAAATAAGTGTGTATAAAAAAATTATGATTTTCCTTTTTTAAATGCATTTAGATACTTAAAAAGGGACAACTTTGGTGATATGTTAAACAAATATTAGCAATATTCCCCAACACCAAAACAAAACAAAAAGTGCTTTGAGAGTTTACTATTTGGTTAGAAAATATTTGCTAACAAAATATTTTTTTTAAGATGTTTAATCATATCATATCTTGTAAAGAAATTTACATTGGCTGTCCGCCTATAGGAGCTAAGAAAAAAATTCTTGAACTTTTAGGTTGCTAAATACTGGTCGTTTTTAAAAAACTGCAGTTAATCTGCAACATATGTCAAAAATAAGCTAAGGCAGATGTCAAAATTGATCCATATAAAACCTGTCATATGTGACATCTGTCACCTGAATCATCATTTTGACATGTCACCTGAAAAATGACCAGTTTTAAGTCACATTACCAATCCTGTAGAACAAAAATAACTACACAGTGCATAATAGTTATGTCTACCCCAATTCAAAATTTGGTCAATTTCTTTTAAAAATAAAAATTTTCTCATGAAAATTAAAATATATATAGATAAAATAGATAAAATAAAATCAGGCTCAAATTAAATTATTTTCTTCAAAACGGATTTTATTTCATTGCACCAGTTATGTATGATTAGCGTAGACAAATAGGTAATAATACTAAAATCCCATCTCTACTGATGTCCAAACTCATAAAAATTTGTCAAAAGAACATTACAATTTAAGATATTTAAAATAATTTTTTAATTGAGATCCCAAATTATCCTTTCAATACTGCAGTAATGCATGCATTATTGTAGGGTCATTCCACCTCTTATCGAAGACAATATTGGAAAAAGTTCTTTGATTTTTTTTTCAAATTTTGTGCAGATTCTGTATAAGCTAGGATAACCATAAATCTTAATTTTGAAGGTTCTACGATAATTTATTACCTACAAATTAATTATTGTAATATTTAAATTTTTCGCAAGATGCGTCATAATGTTTCTTAATTACCATGATAAAAATTATATAGTAACTTGGTACTCTTGTTATTCTTAATTTTTACATTTTTTTCAGTTTTTTGTATGTCTATAGTTTAAAATAAATAAACTGTTAATTTCTAACTTAAAGTATTAATTAAGTAAGTTGTCCGTTTTTTTTGTCAAAAAGTGTACTTATTTAAGATTCTTACGGCATATCCAGCAGCTGGAAATAAACCTATACCATCGACAATATGATCCAATAAATATTTATTTTCATTCTTGGATAAGTCTATGGTTATAACATGTCCAAAAGTTTTTTTAGAGCGATATTTTGGAAGTGCCCAAGTAATTTGATGGTTCCATTTAATTAAAGGTGATATGGATGCTGTATTTATACCCACTGGGTAATTATGCTCAGTTTGAATCATTGAAAAATCAGGATTTCCTCCTGCTAGATAAACTCTAAAAATGTAATGTAGACTTTAAATTTTTTAAATATCTAATACTTACTTTCCCAAACTTGATAAGAAGAAATCCATATTATCTGTTTGCAAATTACTTAAAAGGCTTATATTTGTAATTTCAGGAGTCAAATAACGCCTTAAAATGGCTTGCAAGAGTCCTCTAGGAGCTATTTCAATAATAATGGCATTTTTGGGAACACAGTCTAACACTTGTTTTAGTAAAACTGGACTCAAATAATTATTACAATGGTAATCAGCAGAATTATATTTATCCTTTTCGCTTCCCCATTCGTCTTTGGGTACAGAAGTTGACAACCACTTTGGGCTTCTTAATTTTGGTTCCTTAATTATATTTTTTAATTCTCCCAAAAGTATTTCACCTGCTTTATTTACATATGAACTATGAAAAGCAATATTGCCTGTATTAACAATCCTTGCAAATATTCCTTTCGACGAAACTTTTTCAACAAATTCTTTTATATTTTTTTCAGGGCCTGCTATGGTTATATTATCAGTGGAGTTAATAGCAGCTACTTCAATTTCTTTAGGTAAAACGTTTTTTAAACTTTCTAAAGTCATTCCTATAGCAGCCATTAAACCTGGAGAAGTTTCGGCTTTAAATGTGGAATAACCTCTGGCGTATGCTATTAAAATAGCCTCTTCTGCTGTTATTAAATTGTCAGCATAAGCACAAACTATTTCACCTAAAGAATGGCCAAAAATGCCATCAGGTGTAATACCAAACGATCTCAAAGTTTCAGTTAAACCTACAGAAACTGCAACTACAGAAACAAAGCAGTTAATGCAGTTGTTAAAAGTTTCTTCGGTTCCATTTAAAATTATGGCAACCAAATCTATATTAAAAGGTTTTAGAGCTAAAGCGCATTTTTCAACAGTACTTCTAAAAATTGGTATTTGTATAATATCTTTTGCCATGCCTGGCCATTGCGAACCCATTCCTGAATAACAAAACCATATCGGTCTTTTTTCCAAGTTAAAATGAGAAATCTGTCTACTTTCAGTATCACTTAAAACTTGAAAGCCTCTGTAGTCGTGATTTTTTATGGGTTTCTTAAATACTTGATTTATCAATGAAATAAAAGCAGGGTCACTTTTGTTTTCCAAAATTTTATAGAGCAGTATTCGCACAGATTCTTCGGTTCTACCAGAAACATGCACAATGCTTGGATTAATGGGCAAACTGATATTTCTTCTTAAATGCGGTTTTAATATTAAATGGGCATTAGCGCCTCCATAACCAAAAGAGTTTAACGCCAATAATCCATTTTCGTATGGTAAATTTTCTCGTACCACCTATAATTATAAGTAATATTATTAATAATAATAATAATGGATTTTAAATATATTTTTTTAAAACTGCCTTGCAATGAAACATTGACCATAATTTAGTTTCTAATTTTTCAAACATATTTTAATTCTGTTAAGAACATTTAAATAGTTCTTTATGGATATAATTATTTAAATATTTGAGGATCGCAACAAATTTTTAAAAGGAACTATTTACACACTACTAGATATAGTCGACTACTACCAAAGTCTGCAGTTCTCTTCCTTATCATTAAGTAAATGTAATTTTGACATTAAAAGTGTCTACTGGATTAAAAATAAAAAATATTTTGGATTATTTCATATAAAATTAAATAATATCCCAGAGGGCACACATATCCATAATATTTCCATTAGATATCTAATGGATATCCAGTGGATATCTACTGGACATTTGTGCTGTCTGGGATAAAATTCTTGATTTTTAGGCATCATAGTGTATGCTTAAAACCTACCAGATTTAACACTTGTTTTTTAAATTATTTCAAACACGAAATATTTTTTACTTAAATAAACTTATTTTATAATTTTTTTTTAAAACACTGCTACAAGTTTAGGGTTATCAAAAATTATCTGGATGGGTGACCATTAAAAGTAGTCTATTAATCTACTTTACAATTTGCCAAATGATAAGTGACAGCATACCTGGCGGACTAACCACCTGTCAATAAAAAGCACCTTGCGTGAAGAACAAACGAGGCTAACCAAGAGTAAAAAGGGTCATTATCCGGAAAAACCGATGTCCTCATAATTAATTAACCGCATAACCATAACCCCAATGGTGTTTTTTTCCGCGTAAATAAAACCACTATAAAAAACGAATACAAAGAGCAATATTAAACTTACCAATACAATATATTTATATTGTTTATGGTTTTTTACATTGTTTTATTACTATAGTAATAAAACAATGTAAAAAACCATAAACAAGCTGTTCCTATTTCGTATAGATCATTTACTGGAATGGCAGAGCAGTATAAATAATCCAATAATCAAGTAAGAACGCCACACTTAAAAAAATATTAAATGAACAGACAATAAATTAAGATATTAAAATATAAAAGTCAATATTCCTGTATAAAGGGCAATAATAATGACAAATTAATTTGTTATGCACAGTGGGATAAAATAATGGTTAACGACTGACTAATTATGGTTGAATCTTCCTTAAAGTCAGCTGCATATTATGAACAACCAGATGGTAATACTTCGGTACTGAAGACAAGTTAACGTTTTTGCACAGTGGAGCAATAATTTTTGAATAGCTGTTTCCTATCGTTTCCTATTTTTCCTAGTAAAATAACGGCTGGCTAAATCTTCTATAAAGTCTGTACTGATAACGAAGAATAAGATGTAGACTACAACTATGAAAGATAGGTCCCTGCTGGAAAATAACAACCCCAAACTGCATTAAGTCGCCTACATACTTAACATCTCCGCTATTTTTAATGGTAAACCGAATGTAGTCCCGAGTTTTTTGATAAATCATAAACTAAGTAAGCCAGTACTTAATCCTGCTTACCATTGGTAAGAGCCGAAAAATGGAGGCAAAAAATATGTTACGTTATTTAATAAAAATAGACTTACACAGTTTAGGGAACAGAAATGTTTCAGTAGTACGACTCTCATACTCATACTCACTCATGAGAAAAATATATGTCAACATGTTACAGTTACAAACTTAAAAAATGTTTTGAAACCAAATTTGTCACCTTACCTGGAAACTTTTTGAAAAGAATATCTCGATGAATATAAATTTAAGTTCATACCTGTAATTGCCCACTTTTAATCCCATCAATATCATCAGCGATTTCTTCAATATTAACAGTAGCTGGTATAAAACCACTTTGTATGGCTACAATTAATTTCACCAACCCAACCAAACCGGAAGCGGCTTCAGGGTGTCCAACATTAGACTTTACGGAACCAATATGAAGGGGCGTCGATCTTTTCTCGCAGAAAAACTTTTGCAAAGCTCTACATTCGACTTGATCGCCTATAAAGGTTCCGGTTCCATGGTTTTCCATATAAAACACATCATTAGGATTTACGTTATAGCGTTCGTAAACGCTTTTTAACAGAGAATACTGCATATCCGATGATGGATGCATTAGCCCGTCATCTTTATAGCCATCGACATTTGTGCCTATGCCCTGGATGGTGGCGTAAATTCTTCTGCAATCTTTGGATTTTTTCAGAAAAATTGACACCACTGCTTCGGATTTTACGTAGCCAGATCGGTTTTTATCGAACGGTTGACATTTGTTTTTTGAACTTAATATGCCTGGAACTTGTGCGAATTCTGCACTTTCGTAAGGAAGTAAGTGAGTTTGGGCTGAGCAGATTATTGCAGAATCCATAACGCCTACATAATGAAATACAAAATTAAATTAAAACACTTTCTCTCAATACCTTGTTTAATTTAAAAAATTAAGAATAAAGCCTTGTGAGTCTAATTGTTCTTAGTAGGTACTCTTATGCTAAAAATGACTTCAAGACGCAGATATCGGATTTAACGTGGCAAAACTGTGATGTTGTCCAATATTAAAATATAATTATATTTTTTTTAAATATTTTTCCCATGTTATATACTGTAGTCTGAAAATGTGTGCATAATCAAAATTTCAAAAAAAGAAAAAAAGTCTTGCGCCTTAAAGGGTTAACAAGGATACAAAATTAATTTGTTCATCGACAATAAGGCAAAAAAATAAAAGTATATATATAAACTTTAATAAAATTACATACCTGATCTTATATAATTAACAGCCTGATCAATGCCATAAATAGCACTGGAGCATCCAGTGTCCAAAGCATAACTGGTTCCTTTTAAATCAAAAGTATACGAAATTTGATTGGCCATTAAAGCTATCGATCTATTGAACACTCCAATACAAGATCTATCTTCAGGTTGTTCGAAATAGCTTTGCATTACGCCCAAAAACAAGCCTGTATTTGATCCTTTCACCTCATTTATACTGTGGCCAGAATCAACTATACATTCGTATACCACTTCAAGGAGTTTTCTGGTTCTTGGATCGCAGGATTCTGCTTGTTTCGGAGGAACAGCTAGAAAAAAAATATATACAGGGTGTTGCATAAAAAAAATGACATAGCTTAAGGGTAGGTGTGGTTTTCCGAGGTGAATTCAAATCTGGACTTGAAACAATTTATAGTTCTTTCGTTTAAGAGTTACAGGGTGATTTATGTACTGTGTTGAACATTTTTTAAAATTATCTCATGAATGGATTAGAAGAATTGCATAAAATTTTATATATAGATTTCAGTATAAAGTGTCAGCACAGCGTTTCATCGGTCATTTGGTCATTTAAAAAAAAATCACTAAAATATATATTTTTTTCTAAAATCCAAAGTCAGGTTCTAAAAGAGCATAAGAATTCTACAAAAATCGCCAAAAAATTTATAAAATAAATATTTATTTTGTGGATATTTGAAAAAGTGGAAAAAATATTTTGTTCTTAATAGAACACATCAAAATTATTTGTTAACTCTTTTACCAGGGCTGTTTGCCTCTCTTTCATAATAAATTCCTATCTCTATGAAGCCTAACCTTACCGGTGAATGGCCGCGGAAATAGTGAATTTAATTCGCAAAATGAACGTAAACGTCCTTAGATTAATATATTAATTATAATCTCTTGCATCTTGTGCGCATCTCTGTTGTACTAAAGTCCAGTTAAATATTGATAAGGTTTTAGATCGTTTTGCAAAAATGAAAAAAATACATTAATATTTTAATTTTATATTTAAAAAGATTAACTTAAATTAATCCCCAATATACAAAAGCAAATAAAAAACAAAAAATTATTTTCCTTATTTTCCCCAAAAAAAAAATTATCGACGCCCTCGGCGGAGGCACCCCAGATCTCCCAAGCTAACACCAACAGATCACTTCTCATGAAGGGTATTTTTTATAAAACAGAGATCAACACGGTAGAAAAGTTAACAAACAGTATCCTTGCCACATGTAGCGATGCAGGAAGAGAAGATCAAAATAAAATTCAAAGTGCTGTAAGGAACTTGAAAGAAGCCTGACATCCTGACAGTGCTTACCAAACATGTTTAATATTCAATATTGTTGCAACAGCGCGAAATGATCCTTAATAGTTTCTCCTGTTTCCTTTTTATTGATCAATCAAAAGTTTATTTAATCGATTATGATCACCCACAGACCACCAAAACAAATGGACGGATTTGTTTACGTTTAAAAAGCGAGTAAAGCATAGTTTCACATTCTAAACACCGTCGAAAGAAACACGGCTTCCAACGTTGTCAGAAGTATAGATTACACGCCTTTTTGGACGTTCATCATAACAATGAACATTAATAATTACCAGTAATTCGTTTGAATAATAAAAAAATTGTAAAAAGGATTTGTTCATAATTTTCTTTAGCAGCATAGAAAAAGGTTATGTTCTGTGGGTTGACAGCTTGTTGTTTTGTGTTTTCGTTTGTGTATTTCTATCGTGTTTAAGTTAATTATGGAGTTTAAATACATTATTTTTTACTAAAAATAACAATACATGGAAATATCGTTTGTAAGTACCTACCTACTTATTATTTTTTAATCCCATTACGTCACTGGAAGAAATCATAAAATTCTATCGCCAATTTAACGCTTAGACTGTGACCGTTTGATGACGTCACTGGAATAAAACATAAAATTCTATCTCCAATTTGACGCTTAGACTGTGACCGTTTGTTGACCGCAAACAAAGCATTGTTATTGAATGGCAATGCGCCGTCCATTTGTTTTGATGGTCTGTGTGATCACCAGGTGATCACCTTCTCTTTAAATAATTTTTTGTTGTGTTTTATTAAGAACAAAATATTGTTTGAACTACATGTATACATATTTGTTTAAAAAATATCCACAAAACAAATAAATACGGTCTTGAAGCTCCGCTAGAATAGGCGAACAATTCCTTGAATTGCAAAGAGACCTAAACTAAGGTGACCAACGGTCTTCATTCTGACAGGAAATCGAAGGTAGTAATTACTACCTTTAAAGGTTCTAATTTAGCTTACCATATAAAATTAACTTCCAATTTTGATAAATCCATATAAATTTATTAGGTATACCTAATAACTAAAAATAACTGAGCTGAAAACACAAATTTCATAATAGTTAATTTATAAATAGGTATATATGGGGAATTCCACGCCAAATCGACTACTTTTGACCCGACCCATTTCGATTTGACTGAACTTTTTCAATTTTTTTCTACCCTTCTAGAAAAGTTTCTCATTTTTTTTTACCCAACCAAAAAAAAGTTACGAATTTTAAAAAATGGCCAATTTTTTTTTTAAATACGCATATCTTTGTCAAAATTTGACTAAATGGGGCGTTTTTTTTAATTTTTTGGTTTTGAATGAACTTTTCAGAAAAAAAATTTTTTGGAAATTTTTTAACATGGTTTTGGTTGGGTGAAAAAAACTAAAAAATTCCAAGAAAATTTTTTAGTGGGATGAAAAAATGTAACATAATTTCAGCCAAATCGAAAGGGGTCGGGTTCAAAAGTGGCCGATTTGGCGTGGAACGACCCATATATAAATAACTATTATGAAATTTGTGTTTTTTAACTCAATTGAGAGTAAATAATAATAACATAACACAGGTAGTTGTACAAAAAAACAGACAAAAATAGGGCAACGTCTCTTTTCCTAAAAAAATTTCCTACAGGCCACCACTATTCTGGTTTTCCCCTTTACACAGTTGGTCACCTTAGGTCCTAAACTGATGATTTTGAATCAATTTTCTTGCTTTGCTTCTTTCAGAACCTGATTTTAGAAAAAAATTACAGGGTGCTTTTTGTGTAAAAACCCAAGCCCTAGGGCTTGGTAAGCTTACTTTTTTTAACTGGCTGTATGCATTACCAATGATCCTCGGTTAAAGTACTTGATTAACAAAATGACTTATACGAATTTTAATGTTTGTCAAAAAACGGTTCTTTGACAATATTGCAAAAACAAGTGTTAATTGAAAAAAATATTGGTCATTCTTGGATTTAGCAATTGTTTAAATAATATACCCTACTTAATTTTGATGATTTGCAAAAATGTCGAACATAATTTAAAACCTATAATATACATTAGACTGGGCCAAAAAAATCAACTATTTTTTTTTGAAAAGTATATCGAAAATATAGTTTGGGGTGACAAAAAAAATTATTGTGAAAGTTTGAGTCCATAATATTAATATTAAGAGGTCTATCATCGCAATTTTAATTTTTTTTTCCTCAGCAAGTTTTTGTCTCAGAACTCCCAAACCATTGAGTTTAACAAAATTGACTCTAAAATATTTTTTTAAGAAAATTAAATGCTCCACAAAAAAGGTTAAAGTGAAATTTTCCGTCAGATGAACAGTTTCCTTAAAATCATGCCTTAAAAATTGGTATAGTTTTACATTTTGATCTGGAATTTTGTAATTCATGTAAAAATCAGTACCCATAAAAAACCGATAAATATTCTTATGGGAAATCAAATGCTTTACAAAAAAGCCTCTCAACATTTTTGGCTAAATTCACTCAATCAAAAGTTATTCAAAGTTAAAATTTCGTTTTGACTTCAAATTTAACCTTGAATAACTTTTGATGGAGTGAATTTAGCCAAACATTATAAAATACTTTTTTTGTAGAGCATTTGATTTCCCATTAGAATATTTGTCCAAAGTTAAAAGATCATATTGTAAAACTATACCAATTTTTAAGGCATGATTGTAAGAAAACGGTTCATCTGACGGGGAAATTCCAATTAAACCTTTTTTGTAGACCATTCAATTTTCTTCAATTTTGTTAAACTCAATGATTTGGGAGTTCTGAGATAAAAACTCGCTCAGGAAAAAAAATCTAAAATTGCTATGATAGACCTCTTAATATTAATATTATGGACTCAAACTTTCACCATTTTTTTTTGTCACCCTAAACAATATTTTCGATATACTTTACAAAAAAAATAGTCGATTTTTTTGGCCCAGTCTAATATATGTACATAAGGGTTATTGTATGTATTGTTTACTTATATTTAACGTAAATATAGAGAACAAAATATTTTACCGAAGAAGATTGCATCAAATTTGTCGAAATCATTTACTATTCCCAATGTGGATGGCGTACCAAGAAGATCAGTAGGCCATCTATCGTGATTTTCCGTCAAGAGAACTTTGTTTTCCAAAAGTGCTGTTTTAAATTCTTCTATGTTGCAGCATTGCGGAAATCTCCCCGATACGCCAGAAATAGCGATCTCTATTTTTGAACCCATGGTCCTACGAAATTTCCAAAATGTTCATTAATTTTTTTTAAATATTAAAAAATAATTAAAATTGTTTTATAATTTATATTGATTGATTTAAATAAAATAGTTTTTACCTTGTAAAAATAATATTATATAAAAATATTATTCACGCTTAAGTAAGTAAATTTGAACGAATTAGTTTACACAATGACACAGACGGACACTTTTGTTTGTCTAGTATGGATTTTCGCTAATCCTTCCTTATATATAAAAATTGTTCTTTTGTTTTTTGGCTTTATATTAGCATTAATTAGAAATGTTTACCAACAATGTTTATATATTTTTAATAAAAACAAATAAGTATGGTATATTAATATACAAAAATTACCTATTAATTAGGAATTTTAACAAATACAAAATGTATCTAATTGGTTGTTTGTTTATTTTTATTAAAATAAATAAGTAGACATGGTAGATTAATATTTAAAATATATTAATTAGTTAAGTGATCCATATATATTTTTTGTAAATATATTTAATTTTAAGTAAATACAGTGGGACCCATTTGTTTGCGACTCACCCCTGAAAAATCTTTATTTATTGTGCGATTTTAAGCGGATTTGTTTTAAAGTGTATGTATACATGGATCTTGATTAACTTTTTTTTAAGCAAAAAACACAATATTTTTAAAATATACAATGGCTACTATGCCAGTTTTTAATAGTAAATTTTTAAGAATTTATATTAGCGATTTTTTTTAAACATATTCACCCCCCTCAAAACGACCCTATACTAAATTTTATTAAATTTTTTTAATTATTAACGATTTTGTAGCCAAATTAAAAATGATCAATAGTTAGGATTTTGAAATAAGTAGTACATATTTTTTTTGGAAATTAATTAACTGATCTTCAAAAAAAGATTTCATTTTACTCTTATAATTTACTGTCAAATTGACAGTAATATTTATTATTGATAATTTACTTGTTAATTATTATATAATATCGATACCACCAAAGCCAAATTATTATTTTTTTTTCTGTGTGCGCTCTGACAAATTTCGGTGATTTAAATAAACAAAACACGTAATCAATTTATAAATTGGTTATAACAAAAAATTATACAAAAAGTAATTTTTAAATAAGTTCAAATAACGATATTTGATCATTACGCTTACGGGCGATTGCACGCGTTACTGATGGGACAATCGGAAAAAAATTTAAATATTTTTGGATATTTGTTGCTATCAGTAATGAGCTAATGTCGGTAATATTTGGGTAACTATTAAAGCTAGAGTTTGTGTAAAATTTTCGGTATCAGAGCTATTAAAATGTTTTTTATTTTACGAACTAGAAATCAATAAAATGTTGTAACTGATGGAACAGGAAAAAGGTCAAAAAAATGTCTGGTTACTAGAAGAGAATAATTCTCTGAAACAGAATAATGTTGAAGAAAAGTATAGGTGAACCAAGTTGCAGATACAGTTAGTATAACTTATTATGACATCACTCATCTTTCATTGTAATCTGTGTAGGCAATGCATTTTGATTTCTCGTTACTGACGGGATATTACTGATGTGACATTTATTTTTATTATTTATTATACACTGAAACAAATGTGTTATTGGTTAATTTAACTAAATAACTTCAACAATAATTTTAACATGATAATAACAACTGCAAAAAATTTAAAAGCATTTGAAAAAATTTGATTTTTCGGATTCATAGTGCTTCTTAATCCACATATGAGTACCATCAACAAACTTAAAATAGTGTGAACTTAATATCTCGGGTATTGCTGAAACACCTGACCATTTGGCATCTAATTGTGTCTTAATTTGTTCAATTTCCTCGTTCTTTACGTATATATTAGTAATGTTTTTCAGAACTTTTGCACAGTTGTAAAAATCGGTTGCACTCAGGGCCGTAGCGAGGCTGGTGCAGGCGGTGCGGTGCACCAGGGCCCCCGACCTCAAAGGGGCCCCCAAAACTAAAAAGTTTTACTAAAAAATCGTAATTTTCGATATCCTATCCTATCCTAAAGTTTTGCACCAGGGCCCCTGAGTCCGTCGCTACGGCCCTGGTTGCACTGTTGACAGTCACTCTTCTGCTCTTGATCTCATTACACACCTAAAATAGTTTTTCATTTTTGGTATCTTGAAACCTATTACACTTGTGCGGCAAAATTTATACCCTAATTGTTAGCAAAAATTAGGAAAAGCAGCTATTAAGAAAACCAGAAAACCGTCAGTTATTTTGGACAGTAAATGTATTTATTTGTTTTTCGTTTACCTATAGGTATACATACCTTTCTTTTCACAGTTGCGCCAACGCCGTCAACAGCTCCTTTTCCATGTGAAGTTGCAAAGAAACTCCACTCCATACTTGTGATATTTAATTCTTCTGGTAAAAAACATAAAGTCAATAAGGTGAACCTGTTTTTAAATTAAAAAACATAAAGTCAATAAGGTGAACCTGTTTTTAAATTGGGCGGCACACCCATAGCTAAATACGCTAAGGTCTTTTACTTTATAACCAGAAAGATCAATCCAAGATATTATTTTCTTCAGGAAGACATAAACGGCATATTTGTCGTGAACCAGATAATTGCTGATGATAGAAAAAGAATATATTTTTTCGGCTAGCCACGCCACCGCAGTTGCATGTTGCCAATGAGCACTCTGTATCTCATCTTGTGCAATTAGTTGGAAATTTTCGGCAAAATCGATCTGCAAAATGACGTCACCTATTTCAATGTTTTTTCTCAAGTCAAAGTATTTTTGCTGAATGTTTTTCACAAAATGATGTTTTCGAAATGGTGTCATCTGTTTTTCCAACATTTCAATTGCTGATTCGATTGTTTCAAGCAGAATTATGGTTTTTGTTTTGCCATCGATAGTGGACCACTGTTTGATTTGCATGGGCTCTTCTGGGTTGTATTACAAAGGTAAACAGGAAAATAATATATCAATTTCTTTGCACTCCGGACATTCATTCATCATACAATTTTCTCTTTCGACGTCATAGGTTATCTCAGAAATCAGCTTTTTATGATCATCCGGAAATGCTTTAAAGCGTTTGCTAAACGCTTCCAAAATAAATAAAATGTTTGAATGATATTTGCAAACACAAACGTTGTGAGGAGTTTTACTGATTGGCAAAACGAGCGCAGGCCTTAACTCATAAAATTTGCAAATTTGAATTTTCGTTTCGGGATTTTCTTCTTGGAAAATTGTTTACGCCTCTTTAATTGTGTAGACCATGTGCAGTTTTTGAGCATATTCAATAATAGATCCATTTGTCTTTATTTTCACACGATCTTTTAATTTAGGAGAAACTCTACTTATATCCTCTTTGAAATAAAAACTTTTCACTTTTTCAACTATTTCTTCAATTTGTTTCACGAATTCATTAATGATATTAACAATATTAATATTAATATTAACAATTGTTGATACTATTTCTGTCTTTCCTATATTCTGAACTTTTAAGTTTGGATCTAATGATTCTAATATTTTTGTCAAAACACATTTTTTTGTTTTTTTCTTTTGGCATCATTGTGTCTGCCCTTACAGCTTTTCCTAAAGTTTGTGGAGTTTTGAAGGGTACATTCTTAACAGTTTGATGCTTTTTATTTTCTCTAAACTTTTTTTTTCTTTCTCTTTCATTAGTTTTTTGCTGCATTTTAAACTTACTATCATTTTCCGCCAACTTTTTTAATTTTTCTCTGTACTTTTATGCGCTTGAAGCATTTTTAGACAGGCAAGTCTTTTTTAAAACAGGATTTTCATAATTTTTTTGCGATATTTTTTAACCCGCTGCTTCGCATTTTCTTTGTCAAGCACGTTATTTTTTGCCATCCTAAAAATTATCACATTTCGTTACTAACGGGAACAACTTTAAAAGAAAGAAATACAAAAATCTGGGACAGCAAACCAATATATTTTCGCGTAAGCAAATGTGGCATAGGGACAAACATTTTTATTATTAGGTAATTAAAAACTGGGCAAGTTCCCAAACAGCACAGGATGTCCAATGGACATCCGTTTTATGTCCATATTATGTCGGGAGGTCCATCCCACTTGGCAAGGATCTGTTGCTTAAACGTTTTATTACTGTTAACGAGTTACTGTAACGTGTCCAATAAGGTAACATAAACGTAACGGCATCGTCACAGTTACAGTTAATGTCCGCCTTCTGCAACGTAACATTGTGACGGATTTTTAAAACGCTTATGTAACGTTCCGCTTGTGATGTTACTTATGGTGGTACCGCGCAGCATCTATTTAACGTTATTATCAAAACGTTTATGTAACGTTCCGGTTGTGGTGTTACATATGTTACGTTGGCATAACAGTGGCGGCTGTTGGATTTTGCGTATACCGATATCTTAGTTATTAGACAAAATTTATATGAGTTTATAATGACACTAATTTAACAAGTTCTGCACAAGCAGAATTCAAATATAAGTTTGCGAAAAAAAAATAGTTTTTGCTCCGCCTACCCTGCAGCCTGGCCCTAATAAAGATAATACAAATTTAAGTATATAAACTTAAATTTGGATTATCTTTAATAGGGCCAGTGCAATTTATAATTTACCATAGTTTATCAACAAATTTTAAATCAAAATCCAAATATTACAGATTGTATACCATTTTAAATTTTTATTTATTTTCCTAAAATAATAAAAAAATAATATGGGATAAAATATGTAATACTTGGATTTTTTAAATAAATTTTGAAATTTGTTAATAAACTGGTGAATTATAAATTGCACTATTTAAATTTTTATTATCTTTATTAGGGGGGCCAGGATGCAGGGTAGGCAGAGTTAAAACTATATTTTTTTCGCCAAATTCTATTTAAATTGTTAATTTAGTGTCATTATAAATTCATATAAATTTGGTGTCTAATAACTGAGATATGGCATATGCAAAATCCACCAGCTGACACTGTAGTAATAATGTAATTTATGAAATAAAAATGTTTCACTTAAAATTATAAAAAATTTATTAAATATTTTAACAAAACTAAACAAATAATCTTTGGTTTCTATATTCTCTAGTCATTCATGGTCATTTCCCAGGTAGCACACTGACGTTGAAATGACGTTGCTAACGTCATTTAAACGTCAGAAGACGTCATATAAACGTCAGCAAACGTCAGTGTGCTACCTGGGTTATTCAACGGCATTTTTTTCAATTGCAACGTTTTCCCGTTTTAATCGCTGGTTTCCTTGGCGCTTTTCTCGAATATTTTCATTATTAGTGCCGGGTAGTACCGTTTTACCGCGCCTAGGCCTAAAAGAAAATAAGTTAAAAGACATATTCATTCAATGTACCATCAAGTTTTAAAAGTTACTCATGTATATGTGTATGTATTAATAATACATTTATTTTATTTCTTTTTTTTATATAAGAAAACTATAGAAGAGTTACCAATTTATTGTAAACATCTTCCGCAGTTAAAACATTCTCCAGTTGTTTAAGTTGTTCCAATGTGTTGCATGGCAATTGAGGTCCTACATTTTCGACTCCCTCCTGTGGATACTGCACGTTTACAGAAAGCTCCAGTTTGTTAATCTTGTCTAGCAACAGTTTCTGTATAGTTTGAATATTTATCAAGTAATTAATGACGCGGGACTCAACTAAAAAATAAATAGTTACTATTGGAACTGGACTTACTTACACTTTTTCTTACAAGTTTCAATAGGTATCAGATGCAATAATAATGGGGAATTCATCTTATGCATCAACTGGATTTGCCTCAGCTAGATTCGCTTCTATTGGATTTGCCTCTGAAATTATGAAAACTTCAGTAATATTCATAAAATTTCTCTAAAGTATTACCTTCTTGCACTTGCATGGTGGTTTATCTCTGGAGATGAGCTCAGGTCAGACAGTCCATCATTTGACCTTGGAAACTCTTAACAGTGTGGTTTTCATTTACATATTTCTAATAATAATTATTGTTTAATTGTTTCAAAATAAATATGACACCAACAAAATATTTTAGGAAAGAAAATCGAAGAATTTTTGTTTTTGCAAAATAGGATCGACAAAGCATTAAAACTTGTGCACCTTTTTGTAAGTATGATTTACATTAATGTTTTGCAATGGAATATACCTAAGCAATTACACAAGAGTAAATGGTACTCACCTCAATGTTTTTTCTATTTTGTTCCATTGTCCAAGCAAAAGCGTGCTGTTTAAATAATAATAACCATGAATAATAAGAACAAACAAACAAACGCCCAACACGTGTGACGCCAAACAGACATATTGGCTTGGTTTTTTGGCGGCTGCGCATTGCTTCTAAATTTTCAATATCAATATGTAACGTTTAATAAATGTACATTTATTAACCTTCTAGAAACGTTCTTAATGAACGGCAGGATAACGTTATATTTTCGTTTTGGAATCAACAGTAATTATGTACCGTTTAGTTAATGTAAATTTATTAACAATTCAATAACGCTGATGAATTAGCGTTGCATATACGTTTAAGGATTAACAGTTAGCATATATACCGTTTCATTAACGTAGATATATTAACAATACACTAACGTTATAAATTAGAGTCATCACAACGTAAATGTGTTAGGGTAAAGGTAAAACGATACAGTAACGTTTATGTATTGTATAGCTTGTTGGCATGATTATGCTTACGTTCAGAATACAAAACAGGAACGTTTAAATTTGAGTGTTTAAAATATAACAGTACGAAAACGTTTTTAGGGTTTCTGTTACATTTCTTGCCAAGTGGGATGGACTTTAAATGGACGTCCATTGTATGTATGTACTTTTAGACATTTCTCTAATATTTGAAAGTAAGTATAAATTATCTCGGCCATGAAATCGACCTTAAAAAACTTAGCTTAAAGAGACAGTTAAGGTTTATTTTATTTGGACTTTAACCTACTTGATTAAGTTGAAGTTAAACAGTATTTTTGTCCAGAAATTTATAATTGAAGTAACATGAAATTTTTAAAAGTTATTGAGAGTTTTTTTCAAGTTATAAAATATTAACAAAAAACAATTCTGTATTACAATTTCAATTCCAAATAAACGCCATAAAATGTACCTTAAAAAGTTTGCTTTACAGGTGCAGTTCATTTATATGCCTTTTTATTTGTACTTTGACACATAGGATTAAGTTGGCCTTAGGCGACATTTTTGTCATTTCATCAAATTGGTAATTGAAGTTAACATTACCTTTATAAACGCATTTATAAACAGAATTTTAATTTCAATTACCACTTTGACAAAAATATTGCCTAAGGAAACTTAATCAAAAGTGTCGAAAGTACAAATAAAAAGGAATACAAATTGGACCGTCCAAAAAACATAAAATTGGACTATATTTGGCAGTACTTTAAGGTCCAAATGAATGTCATATGACGTTCATTCGGACCTGCCGACTTTAGTCCAATTCTTTGACATTTGGACGTCCATTGGACTGCATTTAAGTGTGATTCGAATGCCGATCGACGTTCGGGAAAAAATACTGAGCAGTCCATTGGACGTCCATAATGGACGGTCCATTGGACGTCCTTGTGCTGTTTGGGTTGCATAGGTACTTGCGATATTAAAACTTATCATATTATTTCGTTACTGATGGGACAAATATACAATAATATTATAAATTAAAATTTCTATAACAGTTTACTTACTTAAAAAAAAATATTCAGGAATATTTTCACTAATAGTGGCGTCTAATCAAAACTGACGTTTTCGGAAGCGTCACTTACTGTTAGCCACCTTGATAAAAATGCTACTTTGCAATTAAATTTTAACATCGTCCATTGGACTGCATTTAAGTGTGATTCGAATGCCGATCGACGTTCGGGAAAAAATACTGAGCAGTCCATTGGACGTCCATAATGGACGGTCCATTGGACGTCCTTGTGCTGTTTGGGTTGCATAGGTACTTGCGATATTAAAACTTATCATATTATTTCGTTACTGATGGGACAAATATACAATAATATTATAAATTAAAATTTCTATAACAGTTTACTTACTTAAAAAAAAATATTCAGGAATATTTTCACTAATAGTGGCGTCTAATCAAAACTGACGTTTTCGGAAGCGTCACTTACTGTTAGCCACCTTGATAAAAATGCTACTTTGCAATTAAATTTTAACATCGGAAAATCGCTTATTTTTGAACATATTTTTTAAAATAATAAGTACCTACCTGAGATAAACATTTTTAGTTTTTTCAACTAATTTCACCATTAATGAATAACTTTGGTATATTTTTGTTTCATTGTGCCCTGCTTAAAACTGATGGGAAAAATTACATTGCGCTTGCAATCGCCCTTACGTAGAAAATTTCATTAAGTTTCGTCAAATAGGTACTTTGGAATAAATAAATAAAGGTCAAATAACAAGTTTTAAAATTCGCGGCTCCTTAATTACAACGCATGCGCATGAATCAAAACAGTTGGTTGATGGTTGTCTCGCCGATTGGTGTTTTTGCTTTTAATTATGGGTAATTTCCCAAGTTTATTTTTATTCAAACAAATGTCACTTTACTGTCAATCAAATTTTAGTTCAAGTTACAGTGAAAGTTTCATTGTCTTTATTAATTTTTATGAAATGAATAATTTTAAGTGAGGTCATGTATATAATGCCCTTACTTTCAATTATTTGACTGTTTTGTGAGTAAATGCTTTTTATTTTTAGAAATAAACAACTCAGAGTTATACAAATATTACACCATAATAAACGAAGACGAAACTCTAATTAATCAGGATGGTGAAAATGGACAGCAGATTGTTTTATTGTCATTGGAAAACGAAAATGTTGAGCAGGAAGCTTCAAACGAAGCATTTATTAATGTTAGTGATATAGGCTTAAATGAAAATCAGGCTGGAATAAATTACGAGACAAAAATGAAAATTATTAAGTTGGAAGATGGTAGCATGTATTTAGCTACCCTGGCAGATAACACAGAAACAATCAAACCAGAAATAATTACAAGCGAAACTGAAACCACTGAGTTTTTAGAGGACACTATGGAGATGAATGATAATGCAGGTTAGTAGTACCTACCTATATTTTTATTGGGTATTTCATTAAGAAATCCTTAAAATCGTTGATTTATACTTTTAGTGATTGGTGAAGTACCTACTTTATCTAAAAACTGCCTTTACTTCATTTGTTTTACATTTACCATTAAATTAAGCAATTCATATACAGGGTGTCCAACAAATAGTTTTCAAGTTATAAGGGTTTAAAAATTGAATTCTATTTCATTATTTAACTTTTTTAGTGATATATATATCACCTTCCTAATAGTTATTTATGTCATTAGGCCATGAAGTGAATTTTTTTGTGCTGAAATTAAAGTTTGAGTGAAGCACAAAAACACTTCTTGGCTTACCTTAATAAAAGTGGTATAAGTGTAGCTGCCTTGTAAAGCAAAAATTCCTTATAATATTAAGTAATAGTGGACAATAATAATTATCTTTTATTATCTTTTATATTTTTGCTTATCAGGATAGCTGCCGTTATACCCCTTTTATTCTAAGGCCTTCAATTATTAAAATTAGTAAGTGGGGTTAGATAGATCTTATAGAATAAGAGTATATGGATTTTTTTTATTGGCACAAAGTAGTAAATAATGAATTTTTACGGCCTAGGCCATAAAAAACCTAACCTGATTGGTATATACATATATAAATCATTTTTAAGTGCCTAGGTCATAGACCGTTTAAAGATTAAAGAATATTCTGACGTTTCAAAAATAAAAATTTAAAATTGGCAATATTTAATATTATTAACAGGAACTTTCAGTAAATACAAATGTCAACCATGTTAACTTCGAGTTCCTGTACAATGTTGTTTACCATTGGTCCGTCATTTTTTGGACACTGTATATATAATTCGTAATTTTATTTTCAAAGTGAATTTTTTAATGGAATAAGGAATTGAAAAAAAGCACAAAAATACCTATTTAAATTTAAATTACCATGATAAATTCTTTGAACAAAGTTGTATAAATTAAAGTTAAAAGGAACGTGTAATAAAAAGTTCGAACGCTGTAAGTTTGATACCGCATCGTCATCGCTCGACCACGGTGGGCAATGCATGGCTGATGACGTTGCGCTATAAAACTTACAGCATTCGAACTCCACTTGCAGTGTTTATCTCAATATTAAAAAAAAGAGTTTATGATTTAACAGAAACGTTAGTGGCTAGAGAAACGTTCAACTAAAATCCACGTATATCGTTCTGATTGGCTAAATTGGTCATGTGATCTAACGGAGGTGTCTAATGATACCTGGGCTACTTAAAAAATCTTAATAATACCTTAATAATTAGTTTTGTTTAAACGCTCTAACAATGTGTGGCAACACTGTAATCAGTGACTGTCGTTACCTGGGAAAAACCATTATTTTGGACACGTCCGTTAGATCACATGAATCATATGATTATAATCATTATAGTTCATCCACTAATAAAAAAATATGCTTGTGGACAAGTGTGACTAAAAGCCTAAGGAGACATCCATTAATTACGTGAGATAAAAATGGGGGAGGGGTCTAGCATAATCTCACCAAATATCATTTTAAGGGAGGGGGAAATCTCACGTTAACTTTTGAGTTTAAAGAATATGTAATATAATTCAATTTTGTGGTTTATCATGTTGTCCGCAAAGAAAGTTTCATGGCTGGAATCTCACGAGAGAGATAGGGGGTATACCACATCTCAAAAAAACCTCACGTAATTAATCGATGTACCCTAAGCTGAAAGATGAGTTCTTTTGGTGGTAAACAAATTACTAGGAACAAAAAAAACTAAGCAAGGATAATATTTATAGTAAGATTATTTTAAGACTTATTTTGATCATTTCTATAGGTTTTGCATTTTGTTTTTTAGAAGAAAATTATGAAATTATTAATCCAGAAGGTTTGGATGAAATACAAGTTTATTACTTTGAGCAACCTGAGGAGAGTGAAACAGAAAAAAAATATGCTTGCCCTTATGATGATTGTGATAAGAGTTTTACAAAACCTAGATATTTAAATGTAGGTATATAAAGGGTTTCTCGAAAATGGCGTATGCTATAGGGGAGGTATTTTAAGTATAAAAGAAATTATGAAAGGTTGTCTTATGACAAAAGAAAAAGTTTTTATAAAAATATAACACAAACTTAGTACCGTAAATACGGGTGACTTTGCACCCCGCGGGTGACTAACCCATTTATGAAAAATCTTTTCGCGCTCGATAAAATTAACATTTATAATTTGTTGGTCTAAACCTGTCAATTGAGCGATTCTATTGAGTTTATATTACAGGAAAATCAGTGTTTTAAAGAAAGAAATGGGATTTATTACACTTTAAAATTGTATATATCGTATCAGTGCAAAACTCTTAGAAATACACGCGTTACAATTTCTATATTATGCGCAATCCATTGGAATGATGATCCTTGGTTAACTACAGGTCGATTTTTTATTTTTTTTATTGGTAATCCCTTGCAATAGATATATGTCGCTGCTAACACGTGTCTAATAGAAATAAAATATAATATTACATTCATTTTATACTGAAAAAATACTATGAGACAAAGTAACCCGCAACCAGGGGGTAACTTTGCACACCCAGTTTTTAATGTTTATTTTTGAAACTCAGCCCTATGTAATATTATAACATAGTTATTATGAAAGAGCAACTCAAGACTCAAATTTTGGTATACAAAATTTAATGTTTATGATTGGTAAAACCACAAAAATTTTAAACTGAAGTTTGAAAGTGAGCCAAAGCCACCCGTGTTTACGGTAACTTAAATTGTCATTATTTTTTTAAATTTTATGTTTAGGTACTATGCTCCACACCTCAAAGTCCGGAACGCAATCTTTTGAAAATTTGGCATTTAAGGTTATGTATCAGTCAAAGTATAGTCAATGAAAGGAATAATATTATGTTTAGGCGTTAAAAATGTATAAATCTTTATAACATTACAATAACAATGGATGGTTTAAGAATTTAAGAATATAAATACTGCATTTAATGAAATTCTAAAGTGTATGGTACCAAATAAGTAATATTTTTGTGCATTTGGTCCAAATATCTGGTTTTCTCCATAAAATAATTTATTAAAAAAAATCTAGCTTCTCCATTATGAAATAAGAATATCTGTTTTAAAGGAAGGTTAATATATTATAACAAAAATATCTAATTTTGTAATTTTAAGGTTAGAAAAATTTATTTTGACCAAAATAAATAAGTATTTTGGATTATTTAAGACTGTATAATATGGTATTTAAAAATGTGGTAGTTTTTCTTTTCCAGCTTAAAGTGTATACACTTATATAAGATATATCTAGTAGATATTATCTACATAAAGTTTTGTCACAAAACAGAATTTCCAGGACCCAAAACTCATTTAACCATTGGGGTATCAAGTTTTTCAATAAATTACCGATAGATAAGACTCAAAAGTAAACCAAATTTTAAAGATACTATAAAAGAAGTTTTATTGGATAATGTTATCTACGATTTTAACGAATTTTTTAATCTGTCCTTTTGTAATATTTATAATTTGTTTTGTAATATTTTTAACATGTTTTTAATACGTTCTGTCTTACCAATTTCAATATGTTTTACTCTTTACACTTCTTACCTTATATTATTTTACCTTGACGTGCTTTGTATTTTTTGGAAGCAAATAAACTATATTATTATTATATTATTATTATAATACAAATAGTTAAAAAACTTCGACTGAACTTGATCTACATCGAAAAATCATTATAACTTTAAAAATTTTAATAAATCACATGTCATGGGAGTATTAAATATTTTCACATTGCAAGTTTCTCTAAAAATTGTTTGTTTTCTTCGGTTTTCTTATAATCTAACTTAAAGTAGGTATGCCGAGAGGTATGCACAAGTTTTGTAATTAGAAGTATAAAAGCTTCAATTTTTTTTTAACCATATTCAACAATTATTTAGGATACCTATATTTATTTATGACCATAATAACACACTTCCAAATATTCCACTTATTTATTTTGGTGAAAATAGATTTTTCTAACCTTCAAATACAAAATTAGATGATATTTTTTGTTCTAATACATTAACGTACCTTTTATACAGATATTCTTATTTCATAATAGAGAAGTTAGATTTTTTTTAATAAATGCTGTTTAGTTCAAACTATTTTATGGAGAAATGTAGACCCAATGCACAAAAATATCACTTATATTGCACCTTACACTTTGGAATTTCATTAAATGCAGTATTTATATTCCTAAATTCTTAAACCAACCATTGTTATTGTGATACTATAAAGATTTATTAACTTTTAACGTTTAAACATAACCGGTAACACTATAAATATTATTTCTTTCACTATACTTTGACAGATACATAACCTGAAAAGCCTTAAATGCCAAATTTTCAAAAGACTGCGTTCCGTACGTGGTCACGTGGTGGGACTTTGAGGTGTGGAGCAAAGTACCCACTTAAAACAACTCCCCTTTTGGTTTAAATTAAATGGCATAATGGTTCTAAACATATTTTTTAAATATTTTTAGATGCATATGAGAAATCATTTGCAGAAAAAACCGTTTGAATGTCCTATAAATAATTGTGGTAAATCATTTACTACAAATTATTCCCGTAAAACTCACATAAGGACTCATACTGGGGAGAAACCATATGGATGTGTAATGTGTTTAAAACAATTTAAGGCTGTGGGGGATTTACAAAACCACATAAGAATACACACAGGTATTTTACTCATTTAAAATAATGTATTATTACTGATAATAATTAATTATTAGGTGAAAAGCCATTTGTATGTCCTATAGCTGGCTGTGGGAAATCATTTAGTACTTCAAATATAAGAAAGGTCCATGTTCGGTCACATACTGGGGAACGACCTTATGCATGTACAGAACCAAATTGTGGGAAAGCTTTTTCCTCAGCAACCAATTACAAAAATCATTTAAGAATACATTCTGGCGAAAAACCATTTGCTTGCAGGGTGGAAGTAAGTTAGATTATAATTTATTTAAAAATAACTTTAAAAAAAATTATCCTATTAAAAATTTTAGGGTTGCAATAAACGTTTCACAGAATATTCCAGCTTATACAAACATAAAACCGCTCATCTTGTAGAACGACCATACGAATGCGAATTTGAAGGGTGCGAAAAAAAATTTAAGGTGGAATCAGCTTTAACTTTGCATCAAAAGCTGAAACATAAATTAATTATGACCAAGCTTGGTACAGCGATTATTGTGAATGTATAAAAATTAATTTATTATAAAACAAATAAAATAACAGGGTTTCAGAATAATCTATATTTACAATTTAAGTGGTCATTCCTGTAAATTTTTGTATATGTTACTTTGAAACAACATGTAAACCTATAGGTATCACATTTTGTTTTATTTTATATACAAGGCGTCCCTGAAATGCCTTTACAAAATAATTCCACATATTCCTGGGATATAACTAAATTTACGTCTATACTAAAGTTGATAATAACCAAGATATAGGGTGTCAAGATTAAAAGTTCGTTTTGGATTTTATTAAATAACTTTGAAAAAAACATTCAGGGGTTTTTTAGGATAGGAAAACTAAATTTCTTTTTAAAATGTTACATTTTCAAATCACAATTAACTAAACGATATAAATGCAAATATTTTTAGTAAAAACATAAATACACCAAGCTGCAAAAAAATTTAACCATATAAAGGTATGCAGGGTCGCAGACAGCGCCTTCTACAATAGAATGGATAGAATATATTACAAAATTAATTTCGAAAAGTGGATATATCCACTTTTGGAAATTAATTTTGTAATACTAACAATATTATTCATTAAGGCGAAAAAAATATATACCAAAGGAAAAAAACTTTGGTCAACATCTTAGGCTAGCCAAATGCACTTAAAACTGAAACATAAAACTTTTTTATATATAAATTTAATTCTGTTAAAAAGTCCTTATTAATAATCGCATAAATTTTGTGGTTTTCGGTATAAACATTAGGGTGGAGCGAAATTTTTTTTTCCCTAGCCTGGGGGTGGAATTTGTAGCCTACAAAAAAGAAAATTTTTGAAAAAAAAAATAAATTTTTACTCAACGTCTTGAGGTGGCCCACTGATTTTTTAAATTAAATTTAAGTTAAAATTCTTTTGAATAAAAAAAAAATTTTTTTTGGCTTGTAATCTTCAAATTTATCTAAAAATAAACAAATTTGATCGTGTTCAACTCGAAATTCGCTCTATTGCCTCAGAAAAGCATGTTACTATTTTGGAATTTTTTTAAAAACAACAATAATGACCACAAAATTTTGTTTAAGTTCATAACTGTTAATTAGCAAGAAAGAGGACACTCCGCAGTTTCCGGAACACTTAAATTTTTTTTTTTATTCAAAAGAATTTTAACTTAAATTTAATTTAAAAAATCAGTGGGTCACCTCAAGACGTTGAGTAAAAAAAATTTTTTTTATTTCAAAAACTTTCTTTTTTTATAGGCTACAAATTCCACCCCCAGGTGCGCGATCCTCGACATCACTCGCACCGTACGTATACAACATGAAGTCGAGCGATATATTTGCGAATGGTTTTAAAAAATGGTATACTCGACAAATCTTCGCGATTGAAAACGTACACGACAAAATTAAACGAGTGGTTCATCCGGAACACCGCATATGTTAGTTTATTTACGTTTAATGTAGTGGTAGTTACCAGCTTTGACAATGTCAAAGCTAGTATCTGAATGTCAAATTGACATTCTCATGGACATTGTGTTTGTGTTTATATTGTTTGACAAAGAAATATAATTTATACAAGTGCAAAGCCCGTCTACAACTGTGCTATTTGTATGTAACATGATGGACATTAAAAAAAAATATACCACTGAGAAGCAAAAGAAAACTTTAATTAAATTAATTTAAAAAAATGACGCATTGCAAATTGGAAGATTTATAAGAAACATTGCCAATTCTTTTGAGAGACGAAAAAGTTTATCGGATAAATCGTTAACTATATATAGCATAAACAAAAAATAATATTTATGTCATAGAAAACCATCTAAAAAGTATGCGACATTTGAAAACGAATGCCTAATTCCGCTCGCAGTAAACCACTCGCAATTGGTGCGCATCACTATACTCTATGGTGCGCATATATGCGCACCAATTGCGAGTGGTACGTATACGTACCCATTCAATGGTGGTCCCATTGTGAGCGGTCAAGAATACGAAATACACGCATGCAGTCTCGAATGCAGTGTCGTATACGTTTATAAAAGTCGAGCGCTCGAGGTAGCAAGAGGTGCACCCCTTTTTTTTGTTTTTTTCGCTCCCCCCTAATAAACATCTTCGACTATTATTTGATATTTTTTTATTCATTTATGCCTAAAGTACCCAAAAGTTCAAATCTTAAATTTATTAAATCTTATCATATCGGACCAAAAATGGCGCCTGTTCATTGAAGAAATACTCTCCGCTTTTTAAAGAATTGGCGTTAATATTTTTTTTTTATTTTAATCCCTATAAATTTTTCGGATAGTCACCTACTGAATCTGATTTTTAATTTAATAATTAAAATAAACGACGATAAAATGTCAAATAATGGTTGTTTTTTACATAATAGTATATTGAATTTGTAGGTTATTTCTCTCTAATAGAACTATAGATTAAACCTATGAAGAAAAACTAAACAAATATAAACATTACATTGATTAATTTTAGCATAGGTATCTAAATAAGTATTTCCGGAAATTTTACAAAACTAGTCTGGTAAACCAATAGGTTCTCAATGCAATCTGGGTTGCATATGTTGGGCATTAAAATCAATAAAATTTAATGCATTTAAGATGCCGCTGTTATGGAATGCAGTCCATTATTTTATTCCACAACCCACCAAAAACGTTTTAACGGGGCCATCAGAATTCATTGGCCAATGACACAAAACGTCAAATGTGTTTTAAAATAGGTTTTTAAAATTATCGGCTAACCGCATAGATTGTTTTTCTTTTTGTATGCGCCTGTTCGACAATAACTCGTCTCTTATCTTAATACTACGGAGCCAATAAATAAGTTCAATAAACCTGGCAGATAGATAATATAGATTATATAGGCCAAGCGCGGTACACTGGATTTTCAATTATTTGTAGAATACGTTCTTAGTGTGTAGTGTGAAACAAAATGCGTTTGGTAATTTTGGACGATTCCAAAGGTGTTGCCGAATGGGCTGCCAAGTACGTGATAAAGCGAATAAATGAATTCAACGCGGGACCGAATAAATATTTTGTATTGGGACTGCCAACAGGTAAACAAACTGAATTTTAGAAATAGGTACTTTATTACTATAATATATTATACAGGGTGTTTCATAATATATGCGCAGGACTTCAGGATGTGATAACTTATCCAAAAAGATGAAAAAAGTCGCTAATAACTTACGCTCTAAAATGCACAATTTACGAGATACAGGGTGTTGAAATTTTAGAAAAAAATTCGTTTTTTTCGAATATCTCCGGAACCGTTTATCGTACAAAAAACAGCTTTTGTAAGCATTTTCTACTCAAAATAAGCTATGTTTTGTGCTAAAAAAAATTTTTTTTTCCTCGTAATTGGTGGAGATTTTGAAGGGGTAGCGGGTGTTTTTCTCCTCAACTTCAACGCCCCTGAAAAATGTACGGTTTTGAGAGGCCTATTCGAACCGCCAATGTTTTATACACAAAAAAGGTACTCTTGGTCATAAGCTCTAAAATTGACCGTTTTCGAGAAAAATCAACTTTTATGTTTAAAAACAAGGTCAATTAAAAAAAAAAAACATTTTTTTTTTACTAATTAAACAAAATTTATTTTAACGTTAGAACAAGTAGCAAAACCAAACCATTATTGCAAAATAAAAAATGATTCAAAAGTTGTCTGCTAAATTCTCCAAACCGTAAAGGTAACGCATTTCGAACATTTCAGCATTTGTGTAAAAAATCATTTTTTATTTTTTTTTTTAATTTTGCAATTATTGTTTGGTTTTGTTACTTTTTCTAACGTTAAAATAAATTTTGTTTAATTAGTAATAACAATTTTTTTTTTTAAATTGACCATGTTTTTAAACATTAAAGTTGATTTTTCTCGAAAACGGTCAACTTTAGAGCTTATGACCAAGAGTACCTTTTTTGTGTAGAAAACATTGGCGGTTCGAATGGGCCTCTCAAAACCGTACTTTTTTCAGGGGCGTTGAAGTTGAGGAGAAAAACACCCGCTACCCCTTCAAAATCTCCACCAATTATGAGTACAAAAAATTTTTTTCTGGCACAAAACATAGCTTATTTTGAGTAGAAAATGCTTACAAAAGCTGTTTTTTGTACGACAAACGGTTCCAGAGATAATCGAAAAAAACGATTTTTTTTCTAAAATTTCAACACCCTGTATCTCGAAAATTGTGCATTTTAGAGGGTAAGTTAATAGCGACTTTTTTTATCTTTTTGGATGAGCTATCACATCCTGAAGTCCTGCGCATATATTATGAAACACCCTGTATAGGTATACGATACAAAAACATTACAATTTTGATTCCCTTTGTATGAAAATAACTTAACATATTGTAATAACTACATTTTGTCTAATACAAATGGCCAGTCAAGTTAAATGGAATGTCATGCAAAGAGATAAAGAAGGTTATGCATAGGTATATAGGATATATCCAATTACAATTGTACCTACTTGAGTGTGTATGTGCCATGTTGCCACGTTTCCTTAAATTAGCAGAATCTTCCTTTTTAGTAAAATTGATATATTTATAGATGGATAAATATCATTACCGGTTTTTTTTTAATTTTAAAATTTAATAAGAAATTAACTACCCCATTGGATTTCAAAGAAAAATTATTATTTTTTTTTATTTTTATTAAAAAAGCCCAAATAACTACACTAGGAAGTATATGCATACCACCCATATACCTATAGTTATAGGTATATGATACCACCACATACTTCCACTTCAACTCTAGTAAATAAAAAAGTGCGAATAGTCCGAGAACTAACTATAGTTTACTGGTCGTGGTTAACGTCTTGACCGTTATTGTCTCTGTCCGTCTCGGGTTCTTCCTGCACTTAAGTGAAATTGTTATTGTCTTTGTATTAAACAGTTGGTGTGCAATTGATACGATTTGACAGTTACCGGTGGGAGGTATTTTTGACTTCCACTGTATACTAATGTAATTACCAATTCCATTAGAATTCGGTTTGTGTGTTTATATTCTGTGTTTATATTTTCTTAATTTAATGTTCGTTTGGATTTGAAGTGTTTATTTCGTATCGTTTCGTTTAAGGTTTTTTGTTGGGCAGTTTTCTTTGTTATTGATAGATGTATTGCCCTAGTCAGCTTTCCTGTGTCCGAGTTAAGAGTTGGGGCGGTTTTGTTTTATTTCTTGTTGTTTTGTTACTATTGCGCAATAATGCGCCTTAATGTTACTGGTGCACTTTGTTTATTTTATTTTTTTGTTATTTTTTTGGTTAGTTTTTCTCATGTTTAAGCGAAAAGTGTCTCATTTAGGGTTTTTCAAGGTTCCTGTAATGGTGGCAAAATATATATTAGGTCATGCAGATGTTTAAGGTTACTTATCGAGAATTGCAAATTGGCCTTTCCTCCCTTGGTTATCCTCTTTTGTTTGTCTCGTGAAAAGCATATGCTGGATATCCAAATGCGTGGCTAGACCGCGGTCGACCACCCGTAAGGCGTCACTCTACACCTCAACTTCAACACTTCCCTGACCTAAGGGTGGTCTACACACGCTAGTTGCCACACTACAAATTATTTGCACTTTATAGCAATCATTGCGAGCTTTGCAGTTTGTAAGTTTCAAGAGCGCGAGACAGCCAGATGCGACTTAGACGAGTACTTGAACGTGAATGTGTCTTTTTGAGACAAATCCAATGATATAAAAAATAAATTTTCATAAATAATGTAGATATATCCATGTTCTTTATCAGAACGGCATATATGTCATTAGTAAACAAAAAAAATCTTATAATGTTTCTGATCTAAATAATAGTTCCTATTATTATTATTTACTTTTATTTTTATACTCTTTATACAGAGTGTAAAAATCTGAGTTTGCGAAACAGTTTAAAATGCCTATAGCAAGAGGCATTTTCGGACATCTGATTTTAGCAACTTTTTATTTTACACTCTGTATAAATCAATCTTTTTAGCATTATTTTTTTAAGGGAGTACTCCGTTGGGAATGTACCAAAAACTAATAGAATTTTACAAGGCAGGAAAAGTTAGTTTCAAATACGTTAAAACTTTTAACATGGACGAATACGTGGGGTTGCCAAGATCCCATCCAGAAAGTTACCATTACTTCATGTGGAATAACCTTTTTAAACACATTGACATCGAACCAGATAACGTTCACATTTTAGATGGAAACGCGGATGACTTATCCACTGAATGCCTTGATTACGAAAAAAAGATTAAGGAAGCTGGAGGGATTGAGCTTTTTATAGGAGGTTTACTTAATATACAAATAAAATTTTGATAAAACTAATATGTTTGGTCTAGGTATTGGTCCGGATGGTCATATTGCTTTCAATGAACCTGGTTCTTCCTTGGTATCTCGTACAAGGGTTAAAACTTTAGCCCAAGACACGTTAGAGGCAAATGCAAGGTTTTTTGGAAATGATATTAGTAAAGTTCCTAAACAAGCTTTAACCGTTGGTGTTGGAACAGTAATGGACGCTAAAGAGGTGTTAAAAAAAATATAAAATATTAAAACATTAATATGGTGGTTGTTCTAGGTTATGATTTTAATAACTGGTACTCACAAAGCTTTTGCTTTATATAAAGCAATTGAAGAAGGTGTAAATCATATGTGGACTGTGTCAGCTTTTCAACAACATCCACATACTCTAATGATTTGCGATGAAGATGCTACATTGGAGTTAAAAGTGAAGACTGTCAAATATTTTAAGGTAATTTTCTTGGTTTTAAAGTCACATTAAATTTTAAAGGTTTAAATAGCTTTTATTTGTTGTTTTGTTTTTTTTTATTAAATTTAGTATACAGGGTGTCCCGAAAATGGCACACCTACTGTATGCCCACTGTAGGGGAGGTTATTTTAGGTATAAAAAAATCGGCAACGCAGTTTTTACTGTGCTGAATATCATACATCTAAAAAGGGTTGTGAGGAAAAAAAATAAACAGGGCAAACATGTTTGTTTTATTGCATAATTAACAATTAACTTTTAATTTCTGTAATTTATTATTTTATGTTTTTAAAAAATAAAATAAAGAAAATAAAATTTATTTTTGAAAACCTTACCTATACTGTCTATTTTTATTGTTTTTTTTGTACATACGTGATAGAAAAGGTACATTTTTTTAAATAATGTTTTAATTTTTTTATCTTTGATTCGAATTTTTGTTTTAATTATAAATAACAATGATTGATTATGATGATAAGCTGCTTTATTTCATTTGTTACCATAACAACCATTATTAGATGTAGGTTTCAGCATTAAACTTTTAAAAACTAGGTACCTACTTGTCCCGAAAATGTTTTAAATTTGATTTATAATTTAAAACGTCTGGTAAGCACAAAAAATATTGCAAAAAAATGCCCAAAAAAAATTTTAATATATTGAGATTCCTAAACCTTTACAAAATAAAAAAATATTTTAACGACAAACGATTTTTTGTATTCATTCAATTTGGTCGAATTTTACTTTAGATAATTGGTATCACAGTCATTGGTTTGAAGGGTTAATGTTAAAATCGATTCGCCATAGCGTTCTTAATTTACTTATTTACAATAAGCGGCTGTTAATGTTAAATAAGAAAAAAAGGACCAAGACATGAATCTAAAACTTGCTTAAAAGATTTAAGCGTTTTGGCGAATTTTATTATATTAGATTTAGGAATGCTATGGAATATAAATAATCAATGTTGGGTTACAATTTAAGGCAAGAGTTTCCTACAAACAATCCACCGTGATAGTCTTCTCTTTCTAGGTGGTAGTATTTGCCCCACTCTATACAAACTTGATAATTTATTTTGTACATTGTGCTACAATGTACTTAAAGTACCCAGAGAAGTTGCAGTTCTAGAGGGAAAATTAGATTAATAATAGGAATACATTTAATCATTCAATCTTTCAAATAATGGGATATTCTTACAATTATAATATTTTTTTCGGTCACTTTCCCCAGTGAACCAAACCGTGACTTATGACCTAAAATTTACGTAACACGTAGATCATATCTAGGTAATACAATTTTTACGTCATAGTGACATAATACTGACCCAAAACGTGACTTTTATATGATGTAATTAAATGACTTACATATTACGTACATCTTATGTAATATTAAAGTCATATCGTGACGTAACATTAAAGTCACTTTTCTTACGTAAGACTGACATAAGAAATCTGTCATAATATTACATAACTTTTAGGTCACTGTTTTACGTAAGACTGACGTAATAAATCTGTCATAATATTACCTAAGTTTAAGGTCACTTTCTTACGTAAGGCTGACGTAAGAAATACGTCATACTATTACATACGTTTTAGGTCACTTTCTTACGTAAGACTGACGTAAGAAATCTGTCATACCATTACATAAGTTTAAGGTCACTTTGTAAGGTAAGACTGACATAAGAAATCTGTCATACATATTATTTAGACGAATTAGATGCAAAAGTAATTTCAAAGTATGAAATTCACTGTATTTTAATGTTTGAATTAAACTAATTTCAATGAATGGACTTTTATTTTCAATGAGTGAAATAGGCAAACATAATTTTTTTATTGATTGAAATGGTTATTTCCTATCATTGAGTAAAATAACGTAAGTAAATTCTATTAATTGAAATTGACGCCAATTATTTTAAACAATAAAATCAGTGGATACTTTTCCTTACCAGTCAGTTTAATTCAAACATTAAAATACAACAAATTTCATATTTTGAAATTACTTTTGCATCTAGCATGATGAAAGAAATAACGCGAAGTTCCTTGAATTTTTTGGCTACTAATTAGTACTTGGTCGATTAAATGAAAATATGGTTTAAAATCAATCAAAAAATAATGTATCTTAATTTAATGTGTAATAAACATTATATAGATTTTTATGATTCCGGTTCCTAAGCAGTACTGCTTTATGACGTAAAAAATTTTGAAAATAGCGTCGTACTTTCAAAAGTACACATTTTATTCAATGGTCATTTGAAAAATCATGTAGGTACTCATAACCATGGTTGAAAGTACCTTTTTATTTTTTAAATTGTAAAAAATTATCAATAAAAGATTTACGTGTTATTACGTGTTAACGTGTTATTTTTGTATTGTATGTTACTGTTATTATTTTTTGAAAATTTTTGAAAATGGCGCTTTTGGTGAAAGTGGAATTTTTTTGTTCCATCCTGTACAATCGAAAAAATAAGTAGTTGCGCTTTAAAAGACCTGAAATCATATTTCACTCACTTCAAATTTTTTTTAATGTGACCTTGGCAGTACGACGTCTTTGTTTTTTTTTAATCCATGCATGTCATGTTACCTAATAAAATACCAAAATTTTAAATTTCTAAAATAAAAATAATTTTTAAATGTTGAATATTGTCCCTAGCTATAGCTATAGCTACTCATAAAAAGCGATTTTTTTTGTTCTTACTTCTGACATACCGTGTAAAGAATCTGAAAAATTAGTAGTTGGTTCAAAATCCATTGTGAGTTGGTTTTGATCAGGTTCATAAATTAGATAAAGTATCAGCTTGCAATAAATACCTTTTCGATAATGATTCCATTTCCCATTGAAAAAAATGTGACCTTTTGACAGAACGACGCCATTTTAGAAATTTTTCAAAATTGATTTAAGTCAAAAAGTAGTACCCAGAGTACCCTTGTCTCTGGTAGTACCTATATATTTAATGCCTTGTTTAACATACTAAAATTTCAATTTCCAAATACAAAGGTTCAAAAAATAAAACTATAAAAAATAATACAACCAACTTTAAAGAATTTAGTATTATAATATAATATGGTATAATTATATATTAATATAATACCTATAATAATAGATAGGTATTTGCCCAATATTGTTGGTATTTGTATATTTTTTTAATTTAAAAAATTATAAATAAAAGAAATGAAATTGTCAAACGAAATTATTTAAGTACACTGAGAATATTACGTATTAATAATAATAATAATAATAAATATCTTTATTGCATAAATAATACATAAATTATAAATACAAAAGGTGAAAGTTCAGTTTGCACTGTTCTGCCACTTTAACCAGAAATAAACAATATAATAACAAACAAATAATACAAAAAAAAACAAAAAACTTACAAGTTTAAACCTACACATTGCACATTTAACATATGCCCCTTAAGTTTATTTTTAAGTGAAGCAGTTGTATGACTTTCGTTGAACAACTTAACGTAAGTGTTAAAAATTGAAGCAGCCATGTATTCAAAACTGTTTTTAAATTTACTAGTTTTGTGTACAGGAAGTGTTAACAAGTTTTTATTGCGTATATTAACATTATGACATTGACTTCTATAAATTAACAGACTAGACAGATACATAGGCATTTTGGTTTTGTATACCTTGTAAACAGTTAGTATATATTGACTATAAAATAGGTTATCACATTTTAGAATATTCAGTCTTACATAATGTTCACCTAGGTGATCTCTAAAATTAATATTAAATGAATATCGCAGACAGCAGTTTTGAAGTTTTTGAATACAGTATTGTGTAGCTTTTGTTGCACAAGTAAAATACACACTACCACAGTACAAACAAGGACTTAAAATAAGACTTGTACATAATTTCCATTTAACTTCACTTGACAAAAATGGTTTAAAACTATAGATAGACTTAAACTTAATATACGCATTTTTTAAAAGACTTTTTACATGGGATTCAAAACTTAAATCACAGTCAAACAAAATACCTAGGTTTTTAACACAGTTTTGAAATTTTATCACAGAATTGTTCACATATATATCACATGTTTTAAGCTCTAAAGCTTTTATTCTAGCATTTCTTGATCCAATGCAGATACTGACTGTCTTATTCTGATTAAGAAGAAGTCCATTCTTAGATGACCACACCCTAATTTTACTAAGATCTTTATTTAGCTGAGTGATTGCAGAGTTTATTTCAGCTGGAGTGATGGATTTGTAAATTTGTGTATCATCTGCATACTGGTGCACTTTGCTATGACGGATCTCTTCACTCAAATCCGCAGTAAAAATTCTAAAGAAACTAAGAGATTTTTAAAAATATATGTAAACTATTAGAAGAATTTTTCATTGATAAACAAATTTTATAATAATATTATAATATATAAGGGTAAAGTTGTCAAATAACATTGATATATTAATTGTTAGCAGTTGCAATATGCAGTAAGGTTGCCTATGATAAGAATGCATCTACTATAATATAGTAGAAATCTACTTATCGTAGGCAACCATTATTGCATAATACATCTCGCTTATGTGGCACTATTCGTTAAGTATATAAACAAGTCACAAATTGTGGCCTACGAAAATTTAGCTTTTTCACTGGAATTCTTTGTTGGAGCCAGGATTGTTCCGTCTAGATCGCCCGTGGCCCTCTGCTTAAACAGTGCCTGCATTGAGTAACTTTACTCAATGGTGCCTGCTTTGCAAGGCCAAAGCCGCGAACCCATAATTTTACTCATTTTACGTCAAGAGGGAACTGATTTCAGCCAAGTGAGCTGTTTCAGTATTTACTTATTTTGCCCTATGATGAAAAATAAGGAGGGGGCTTCGTCATTCTGAGGTCATATTTATGACACATTTATTACGTAAATATTATGTAATGGTATGATGTCAGTGTTACATCAAGATGTTTACGTCATATTTATGTCATATTTATTACGTCAGAGTCTGACGTAAGAAAGTGTGAAATAATGACTCTTGTATGACTCAAGTGTGACCTATATCTTACGTAAGCGTGACTTGACATGACATCATATTTACGTCATATTTACGTAATTGTGTTTACTGGGTCTCGATCTTTTTCATTTTTCAAAAACCTTATTATTTTTCTCCAGTTTCGTTGTTGTTTATTTTTAGAGAGCACATGCAGAGATAACAGGAACTGCAATTCACACATGTGTGACATTTTATCTGTTAATAAGTTTGCTAACTTAGGATCCGTAGCAAATGTACTCCCAAGTCTTTTTATTTTATTTTTTCTTTATTTTACTTATTTCTTGTAAACTTGCACAAATTTTAAAAAATCCACCACCAAATTTATGAAATTTCTTTAGTTTATTTTGACTAAAATTTAGATGGCATTGCATATCTTCTAAATCTTTAACTGTAATAATTTTAGTTTTACACAAAATTGGAATTTAATTTTTTCTTGTTGTAGGTATATTAGATGCTATTTCTTTTTTTAAACTTCTTTGTACATTTATGTGGTCTTCCCCTCCCAAATTTTTGCCTCTACTACTATTTAGTAGTTTCAGCTGGCACGCCAATGATTAGATATATAAAATAATAATATATTATAATTATTTTTTGTATAAATATTAAATCGAGTATTAAATTCAAAATTGTAAAATTCTATTTATTCTAAGCTTGGAAAAGGGTTAGGAATCTTATATATATATTTACACTTTTTGAAGTAATTTTTTTTGAAAGGTCAATTTTTTCGCGAATGACGGTATTGGGCCATTTTCATGACACCTTTATAAAAAATGCTGCAGACATTTAAGGCTTGGCTATAAATATTGACAATGTACCTTACTCTTCAAAACAATACCAAAAAATATTTGTTATAAAATGTGAAATAGAAAAATTGTCCTATCGATCAAAAAAAAGAAATTTTTTTGATTTTTAAATTAATTTTTACAAATAGATAAATTAAGTGTATATTAAGAGAATGGATCTGCGTATTAAACCTCAAAGTTAAGAGTTATTTGTGCACTAATACAACTATCCATATTCAGGTTATCATAGTCTCAGAAGTTTTCTTGCTCGATTTTATTATTTCACTTAAGTATGCCATACCTTAAGAACGGGGCCCTAAAAGTCAAAATCTCGAAAAATAAATAATTTCATATGGCTTTTTAAATAATATATTTTATAGAATTTTAATCATTCATCTTTATTTTTTTAAGACTGGAGCCCCATTCTTATTACAAAGCAAATAATTTTTGTACCAACTAAAAAAATGTGTATAAATTAACTATTCATTTACAAAGTTACAAAACAAAACAAACAAAAAATATTAATTCAACATGATTACTTTAATTTTGTAGATATCAGAAAAAATTATCGATTTGTAGGATTGGTGGTGGTATATTTAGCTTCAATTTTTGTTGTAATATATTGCTTTATTTTTTTATACAGGCTCTAAGCAACGTTCACCATAAGCTTATCGAAGAAACTAATCCCATTGAACAAACTAGATATATTCATTGAATTGGTATGACATTTTTGTTTTAAAATTAAATATTACTTATAATTTTTTTCATTCACAAAAATTATCACCAAAGTTTTTATAATTTGATCTATTTATATTTGCATATATGTATATTAAAAAGGGTTTGTTGGTCAGCTTACAATGTAAATTTAAGTTTTATTTTGAGAATACAATTTTAAGTATTTTATTAAGCATCTATGCTTACCTATAGGTAATTTATTTGTTTTGCTATTTTCAGGCTTTAGCAGATCTTCACAACAAATTGGTTGATGGATAATGGGTTTTTTTATTTTTCATTCCTACATTTCTAAGTAATATTTTTATGTATCTTATCAAATATATTTTTTATAAATTACATGCACATTTCAATGAAACCACACATCCTTATATTAAGGTTATATGTAATTCGGTATATTAATATATTATAAGATTATTTACACAATAAAATACGTTAAACAATGAATTACATACATACTATTTATGACCTAATATTTTTATTTAGCGTTGCAAACGGATGGTTAAATTTACAGGTCGCATTTTTGCAGAATTTTCCAAATTTACATGGCTTTACATTGGATAGTTCAAGTCCTAAAACAAATAAATATAATTTTTATAATACATCTTCAACCCCCCCCCATGTAAGGGAGGTGTTAATTTACCAAAAAACAAACAATAGCAAAAAACTTATTTATAAAATTGTAAGACAATTATTGCGTAGGAGGTTACAGATGTAAACATATTAATTATTGTTTTTCTATTGACTGTGTAGAATCCAGCAGCTGAAATTGTCGTCGAATGTGACTCCCAGTTTCTCTTTGCCTTTTTAATTACTTGTCTAAAATTTCGATTTTGATCATTTTCATTTTTTAATAAACAAATTATTGTAAAGGTTTTTTTAGTTGACTGTTCTATGGAGTCACACGATAATATTATAAGCACAGATGAAATCTGTAACAGTAATATTAGAAATAAATTTAAAGTAAAAAATTAACTTACAAAATATACAGCCGTAAAATAGATAAAAAATAAATAGCTTTGAAAATCAAAAGAGTCATAATAACGAAGTGATGTATTAAACAGACTTAAAAAAGAAAATGCGGTATATGGAATAAAAATAAAAATCGACCAAGAAAAGAAACAGTTAAATTTTTCTATGGCGTCCAAACCAATTTGAAACATTTTAAGGTTTACTTTTAACTGTTCAGCATTTTTATTCAGGTCAAAGATTTGAAATAACTGTTTTTCTAATAATTTGTTAATCATTTGTATTCTTTTTGATATAATATAAGCAGTATTATAAATTACTATTGTTATATGGTTAAAGCATATATTGTATAAAACATATATAAAGTAATACTTCACTTCATCTGTGTTATATATTTGTTTTCCCAATAATATATAGTTTATAATAAACAATACAACCACTGGTATGTTAATCCAATGACATGTGGCTTTTACTTGACATTGTTTTGTTAATTCTGTATCCATTTTATCCAGCAAATTTATTAAAGTTTCCCATTTTAGTGGGTTTTTTAAACTTGAAAGCATTGGAGAAACAAGTAAAAAATATCCCAAAATTGTATGAGTGGTATCAACAATTTTAAACGACGCGGACGAATACATTGAGGTCTTGTGTCCATAAATCGAGAAACCCGTTAAAAATAGCCATAGCGAAATTAAGATAATAATTTGAATTTTATTCAACTTAGGTTTAGTATGTATTGGCAAAAGACCTAACGGTTTGCCAATGTTACAGATTTTTTTTAAACATATTACATCACTTTTATCGGATAACATTTTTTTGGTGTTCTGTTTTATATTAAAAATATTGATCAATAGCATTCGAGTAACGAAATTTAACACAAACGTAATTTTTGTTGACGTTAACAAATGCATTAAACTAAGGATCCTTTTAAGTTATTACGTTTTGAATATCAATAGTCATTTACTAAATTAATTGAACAACAAACGTATTTATATTATACTTATTTATATTTTAATTTTTCGTCCATCACTGGCTTTGGGTGAAAGTTAAACTCCGATATGCATTTTTAAAACGCAAGTTAATTTACTTTTAAAAATGATACTTTTAACAAAATCATCTGATTTGTATTCAACTAAAAGATGTTTTCTTATTAAAACGTTAAAATTTTAAATTTTAAAAGCTTAAACCTTTATTTTTAGTTTGATTTCGGGAGAATTGTTTCATGTTTAAACGATTTTATAGAAAAACACCTTTTAGTTAAAGCCAGATAAATAATGAGTTTACACATTAGACTTAATAAATAATTTACTGTGCTACAAAGTACAGCATGGCAAATGCAAAACGCTGTATCTTCGTCGCTGCAAAATATCCCCACCCCACTCTTGCGTTTGAAAACATTCGGCACTGTTTACCTTTCCCGTGAAAATACGGCGCCTACACTACTAAAAATGCTGTTTAGGCCTCCTTGGATTTGCTGACAGTACAAATCCAAATACAATGCAGCCAATATAATATATAATAATGCCAATAGTGGGCCCTATAAAAATATGTACAAATAGAAATAAATATGTATTTCCATTTCTATTTAAATCCAAATTTTGCACGGTGCTTTAGTTTACAGTGTAATAAAGTTAAATTTTTCCGTCTCCATAGGGACAAAAAAAGAAGGGTTAGGCTTGCAAAAAGACACAAATGGCTAGACAGTAAATTTTTTTAGTTTTTTCAATAAATTGCTGCTATCATATGTTAAAATAAAGTTAAATAAAAATATTTGTACGATTTTAATTTACATTTTTTCTACAAACTTTGTAAACTGGAATAATCGGCTTAATAAAATTTAATAATTGCAAATTTTTTAATAACAAATTACTATCAGATATAAATTTCTGCAAAAAGTTATATTTAACTATGTGTAGGTGTTGCTACAGGCTGTTTGTTTTGTTAAAAGAGATGTCAGTCAAGATTTGTGATAATGGATACACATTACATTTGTTATACAGGGTGTTTCAGAATAAGATGCTGAACCTTAAGGGTGTGAATCCTTAGTTGATTTTAAGAAAAAAAGTTCAAATAAACCTATGACCTAAACCTCTTAATTTTTGAGTTACAGGGTGTTATCATAACTTTAATAACTTCCTAGATATTTTTAAAAATTTGGCACACACCTTCTTAGCATTAACAGTAAGTTTTTGATGTAGAAGATTTTTTATTTTTTTATAATTAAATTTAATTTTAATGTTTATTTAATCATTGTTTTCTCAATATGCGCATTAAATGCTTTTTATTTTTTTCATCGAAAACCGTTAGTCGTACGAAAAATGGTCAAGAAATCAAATTTGCCCTAAAATGAATGGGGATTTAAAAAATAATTTTTATTTCGAAAAATAGCAGTGGCGTGCATAATATTTTTCCAAAAATATCTAGACCCCATCCTGTACGGACGCCACTGGTAACATACCTAGTTGTTTTCGTAGATTCGCCCCTTAAAATAGGGAAAGGGGTAGGTGTCAAAAGTATGTTAAAATATGTTCGAAATATCCCCTTTTAATACGGGTATATTGTATAAAAATTTTAAAATTAAATATTTAAAAATAGATTTTTTTCATTCTTTCAATGAAGCAAATTATATTTTTATATAAAAAAAATCTTTAAATGCATTTAAAAAAATAGAATTAAGCTTCAAAACCTTATAAGTTTAATAATGGAAATAAGGTAAAGTATCGGGTTTTCGCAACGCGCGCGCCATCTGATGGACTTCAAAAGCATTGCGTGAATTTAAGAATTGTCAACAATACATTTAAAGCATAAGAACTCTATATCATTTTCAAATAAATAGGTAGTTTTTTCACAAAAGAGAGGAAGGCAGAAGTTTTACTCGACAATTTTTTTTCAATTGCACAGCTAAACCGCGCACGTTATTTGTGTTTTACGTTGCAAGGAAAAAACTAAAAAACTGGTTTAGTACTTCATTTCGATTGAATATTCTTTATATATATGATATATCATTGATTAAGAAACTCAACGCTTAAATGCTTATATAGCTACGTTAGTGTGTGTATTTTATCTAAAGGATTATGGTGAATTATTGTGTTTTTAATTGTAAATAAAATTCAAAAACTAAATCGTTGCATTTTCATGTTTTGCGAAAGGATCCAATTCGGAAAGTACATTTGCTGATGCAGGATTAACTAATGATAACTTTACATAATATAATTTATATTTAAGTTTGGACATTTTTAAGAAAGTAAAAAACAGTTTTTGCACAAACATAACCCTAAAATCAACCATTTTTATATTTGAGTTCTCTAAAAAACGCTGACAACTGCATTTTAAACAACAAAATATACCTACGAATTTATGGCAACATAATATTATATTTAATACATAATATTGTATTTTACCGTTGAGTGGAGACTTTAAAGAATTTTTAATCAACGCTTTTAATAATGTTAAATGCTGTTTAAATTTAGACGACTTATTTGTTTGACGATTATTACTGAATTGAAATGTTTACACTTTTCACGTTAATCATTACTAAAATGTGTATTTATTGTATCTAATAGATACAATTTATATTTACAGGGACTGTATGAAATTTATTTCTTCATTTGGATTAACACTGTTTATTGGAAAACCGATATAAACACAACCCAGGATTTCCTCTCGAAATACACCCAACAACACAACAAATCGTGCCACGTTTTTTTTCGATGTTTTTTTTAACATTTTCCGGATTTATTCTCAAAAACACTCTTTTGTAAGACATGCGTTTGACAGATGATTATCAAAAGTTATACTTTTGTTACGATTATAATAGCCGAGTGGTGGCGCTACTAGCGATACTTCTTTAGCGTATTGTTTTAGAGATTTTCGAACTGATTGATGCGCTAAACCACAGGAGTGTCTTATCTGTCATCTTCACACCTGTCAAAGTATTGCTTGTTGACGCTTTAGCTTAGCAAACAGTTGAAAACCTCGAAAAATAATTTTGATCCCATTGTTAAACTTTTATGTTTTTAAAGCCAAAGAATCAAGCTTTTTATTGAGCTTAATTTTATTTTTTTTAAATTTAAGGGCTATAGTAATCAATTTAAAAAAAAAATTTAAAAAGGAAAACTGTAAACTTTGCACTCCTGTCATTTTATAACCAGAGGTAGGGTAAAGGCACTAGTAATTGCCACTGTACCAGTAGTTGCCATTTATTATTAAGAAATTCAAAAACAAAGCTATATGCAATATCTGTGCATATGGCGCACTGCCTATGTGTAAGGAAGTGTATCTAGCGTATTATGTATTTAGAACAACTGCCACCAGGTGGCGCATTTTTCGTCAGGAAAAAAATATTCAGGCAACTTGTTGAATATATAATATAAAAGATTTCTTGTGACTTTGGTCAAGAAAGTGTAAGATTAGTTTTTCGTGATATTGGCATATGTTGTTAATCAATTTGAGGTTTGTTTGTGCAATAGGCATATATGCTAAGTAGTTTAAATGAAACGCATATAAATTGTTCGTTAAATTAAAAGAGTATTTTGATTTAGAGTAGTGGCAATTACTGGAGCATTTTTTTTCTTTTACCCAATATTTGCCATTTGTGGTAATTACCTACTGGAGAATTTTGGATTATCGTATTATGACCTTTATTAAAGCGCTAAACTAACCTATAATATTTAGTTTATCCTTGACATTAATAAGAACATTATATTCAAAGAGAATCCAGTAATTTCCACCTCTTTTTGAATGTGTCAATTACTGGTTCACTTTAGTGGCAATTATTGATCCAGGTATAAAATCCAAATTGATCAACATGGAACCAAAAAACAAGCCCTTTTTCGCTATTCCCAAGAAAGTAAAGAATCTGCATTGGCTGCTTGCCAAGGTGGTATGCCATTTTCCATTTTTTTTTGTTTTATTTAATAAAATAAATTAGTGGCAATTACTGGCCAGGTACACTGGAAACTACTGGTTTTTTTAAAAATGGTCATGGCAATTACTAGTCCTCTATACCTCAATAAAAAAAATATATATTGTACTTAAGGGGTTACATACAGTTAGAATTTTCAAAACACCGAATTTTTTTTTATTTTATTTTCTTAATGTACATATATTTAAGAATACACACAGAAAATTTCATATCGTTCCGGTGAATATTTTCAAAGTTACACACAAATTTGAAAAGGCGTTTCAGAGTGCTTGGAAGTACAAGGCCGGAGAGGCAGCGACTACCCTTTTATGCACCTGCCTTGTAAATGCTCCCTTCTAATGTATTTAGATGTGTAAATCAACAGTGTGAACAGGGTGTATTATATTGGTCTGTAATAGACGACTCCATGTAATTTAAAAAATAAAAAATTGTATTCCATGTAAACTGCATTCCAAACTTTAAACGCGTTTTTCTCTGAATGGTGTTTTCAAAGTCGGTGACCAACATTACTCGAAAACGGCTAAACCGATTAGTCTCAAATTTTAACACGAGCTTCTTAAATATATTTTTTAGTAATTAATCGAAGATTTTTTCTCTCCGATAAATATTTTTGTTTTTATAAACAATTTAAGGCCGAAATTTCGGTGAAAAATCGATTTTTTTTTTTGAGAAACCGCCATTTTGTCAAAAAATTTTATTTTGCTTAATCCTTCGATTAATTACTAGATTAAACATTACTTTAACGAAATCTGTTTGGTTTTTTAAATTCAGATGATCCAGTTCAGAGTTATAGTGGTCACCGCAAAACGTCTTTTTTGAGAGGAGCATCCGGAGATCAGCTGTAGCTCTTTTCCAAATAAATATTTTTACTAGTACTAAGTCTTAAAATATAGTTAAAAGATACCATAATATGTGTATAAATTTTTGGATCAATAAATTTAAAAGTTTTCTCAGAAAAACTTCTGAAAAATTCACTTTTTTTCGGCCTTCTAACTGTATATAACCCCTTAATTATGTCCTTCTATTGGTACTTCTGGTACTTTTTTAGCTTTTTTGTGTAAACACTAGCTTATAATGGCAATTACTGGTGTCATTACCCTATGAAGCAAAATCCTTTACATGATAAGTAATTTATAACTATTACTATAATTTAGTAAAATTTGAAAATGATTAGGAAAGTAAAACACAATTTTGGTGGAAATTTTGGCCCAAATGAAGGGTCTCTAGGTTTTGGAGACCATTCACATATTCAGCTGACTTCAGTCTAGCATCCAGGCAAGTGCTTATTAAGAATTTTTTTTTGTTATGGATCCTTATGAAAGTCTAAATCTATCAAGAAAAGTTTCGTACGTACGGCAATTAGGAACTCTTTTATTATTATTAAAATAATGCAGCTCTGTGTGGTATTCACAGCACCTAATTAAACCAGGGATAACTAAAGAAAAACAATTTTCCTAAAATAAGTTTGAAGTCACAAGGATTTCGCAACTCATTCAGTGTTAAGATTTCTGGCCACGCCGGTTAAGGGTTAATAATTATTATAATAATAATAATTATAATTATTATAATAATAATTATTATAATAATAAATACCTATTATAATAATAATAATTATAATTAATCCTGTTAAAAATAATTTTATGCGAATCAGTTTACATACCAGTTGATTTTCCGTTTTTCACATGATTGTAAGGGCAGTCTCTTTTCGTACACGAAGTACCGAATTTGCAGGAAGGATGCAAATAGAGACATTTATCTCCGAATTTACAGTGCGGGAACATTTCGCAACTCTTTCGAATATGCGCGTATTCGCATTTATCGCCCAGCATGCAGTTCGGAAAATAAATGCAGGCCTCCTTTTTCTTGGCGACAACAACAGTTGGCACGACTGGCAGCTTGTCGGGTATATTCGGGCGAGTCGTTTTAACCACGGCGGTTGGTTTCGTTTTTATGTCAAAAACAATGGGTGATCTGCTTCGCGTAGGTCTTTTCACCTCTCCCAATGGGGTGTTCAGGTTCAGATTTACCACGAATTTCGGTTGTTTTTCTATTGGCGTATACGTGGGAGATGTCGGCGTGTATTCCGGAGAAAATTGATTTACATTTTTGCCGACCGGTTTTGGGATGTATTCTTCTTCCTCTGAATCGCTTGATTGTTCCTTACTAATGTCATTGTTAAGCGATACCAGGATGCTGTTTAGTCTTGCCTTGGTTTTTTCTGGAACTGTTTTGGGTAGTTTCTGATATTTTAGGTATTTCTTCGTAAATAAAGGATTTGACTGTAACAAAAATTTTAGGTAATTTTCTGACGACTATAAAGTTTATTAAGAACTTAACTACACTGATTAAGTTAAAAATATAATACTATTAAATATTTCTAGACTTTAAATTCATAATATTTAAATTATTATAATTGATTATAAGTCATTTCATATTAAATCATCGAATCGGCAAAACCAGATGTTGGATTTTGCTTTAACTTTGTGGAAATGTGCTTTGAGGTCTCAAAAACGGCAATACTATTATTATATTTACTCGTTCCATATAAAATTTTAAAGGTAAAAGATTTATGCTCCACATAAAAAAGTCCCACTTCAGTTTAACACTAATTTCGTCTTATTAAAAAACGTATTGTATTTTTGTATATTAAGATCTTCATTTATAACACAAAAAATACATACAGGATGTCCTAGAAGTCGCCTACCTGTCTTAAAGGTGTATATGATCCACATACCCCCAAAGAATCCCAGATTATTGTTAAAAAATTCTACTTTCGTTACTTAAAAAGAACAGGAAAACTAATAAAACCATAGATTATATATATAAAGTAAATATTAAAGAAATAATATTAACATTACATTGACACATGACTCTTGCATCTTCATATCACAATACCAACTAAAGAAATAAAGGTTAACATTTAACAGAAATTCTATGACACATAGACATATTAAAAAAATTGAACACGTAATGGCCACTGTTGTAGGTCGTACTGTCAGTGTCAGTTTACAAATTTGTTTTGTGTGTTTTTACTTAAAAAAAATTAAAACGTCGGTTTCACTATTAAAATACAATGGTAGTTTGTTCTGCATTTGGTTGTTAGAGTTATATAAGTTATAGTGACAAGAAATAAAGCAGAATAGCCTTTGACAGGTAAAAATCTATATTGTTAATGGAAACTCAACATTCTCTTTTAAAGGTAATAAATCTTTTTATTTTAATCCTCCACTTCCCAAATAAACAAATATGCGGTCTTTTATTCAAATGATATCATCTATATCTATATAATAGGACTTAAAAAAATATAAACAAGGTAAACCTATTATTTTTAGGTTTAAAAACTCAATGTTCAATTTTTAGATTTTCTTAGCGATCGAGTGAAAAACACATTGCTCCTAAATATCACTTTAATAAAAATTTGGTATGAAGTCATGAGCCAACGTAGCAAATCGGTTGTCACCACTTGCCCAAATAGCTAAGCGTAATATGCAGCGCTAACATAAACTTTTTGTTTGATGTCAAGATTACAATCATTATTTTGACTTTGTTACACGTTAAAACATAATTTAGAATTTGGAAAACTTAAAACATTTTGTAATGTTCTTGCAGTGAATAATCCATTTTTTATTATATTTAGTGCAACTTTAAAATCATTTTTTGTTACCTTGACCATAACTTAAAAAGCGTAAGGTAGCGCTGCATGATATAAATATTATTTATACCATGGTCCACACCCAAAAGTCCCACCACGTGACTTTGATAAACATAATTGCAGTTATATTTCTGCTAATTTCGTCTTATTTTCTGAAAATAATACAGTATAGGTATTGTATTGTATTCTTGTTTTAAAATAAGACAAAATTAACTTGACACTGACAGAAAGATAACCTTAATTATTTGTATCAAAGTCACGTGGTTAGACTTAATCATAGTGTTCTAATGATCCTGGTACAGATGTCGCCAAAAGATGTTATTTTCAAAGCTAGGAAATTATAACGATAACAAATAAATTAAGACAGGTATACTCATAAATATACCAAGTCAGTTTTATCATTGAAAAAGAATTGAATCAACGCTTTTAAGCTCCTTAATGCCTAATATACAGTTTATCTTATTTTTTTACGCGTCATCTATTAGTAATAGAGATGTAAAAAACGGGTTTTTTTTCAAAAACATGAAAAAAAGCTAGAAAAAAAAGGGTTTTTTTTGTTTTTTTCAAAATGAAATTTTGAGTAAAATATATATTAATAATAAAGTGAAATGTAGAATATATTAAATTTTTCATTATTGAAAATTTTGACCGAGACTAAAAAATCTGATTTCTTATTATTTGGTAGTTTCCACATTAGAAACCAGTAGCAATGTAATTTACATTATGTAAAACTTCTACACCAATACAAAAAAATTTTTGAAAAAATTAAAGGATAAAAAAAATTGTTTTGCGATTCTTTGGATAGCTGTATCTTTGTTAAAAATGGTCGTATTGTAGCCGTAAACAAAGGAATTTAAAGCTTGAAGTTTCTAGATTTAAGTTTTTTAAATGAAAAATGTGCAAAGCTCAATCCTAACAAATACCGTAATAAAAAAATCGATTTTTTTGGCTTTCTGGTCCACGGAATGTTCTGACTTAACCACCAATGAATAAATGTTCTACAAGAATTTGCTATTGTTTTTTTGAAGAAAAAAATTCCATACTCTACATGAATTTGAAAAATCATGAAAAAAGTGCTTTTGGTAGCTTTTTGAAAAATCAAGCGCTGAATCAAAAATATTATAGTTAGTTAGGTAGTTACTTTTTTTAGGACCAAATCAAAACAAGCGCGGCCCTTATTTGTCAATTCGGTGGTGGTGGCGCGTGCATAGCGCGAGACTGTATTTACATTTACTAATTGTCATTATAGTGGCTAATTTTAGTCCATGAAACCTAAAAAATTCGGCAAATGGGACTAATCTTAAAAAAAACCTAAAATGTGAAAAAAAAAACCATTTGAAAAAAAACAATGAAAAAAAACGGACCGTCGCATCTCTATCTATTACACACGGCTAGTTTATAATAATCGCTTAGACGGTGACCGCTCTCGATCATTCTGTGCTTTGCGGATAGCCTCCACCATATACCTTTTTCTATGCCCTATACCGTATAATTGCTTATAGACAGCCCGCGTCGTGTCTGGTCGGTCGCGGTAGTAAAAACTAAAAAAGTAGATTCTGAATAGCAACGAAATCTTCGGACGAAAAGCCCTCTGTAAAGTAGTTCATTTTACCTATTCACTTTTTTTTTGTATATATAATCAGATTATAAAGCGCGCGTTTTAGTATTTTCATTTATTACGAAAATATATCATTGTAAAAATAATTATGATTATGAATTTAATTACAATTTCACAAATTGATCAGCTTTAAAATGTCATATTAAACAAATAGATATCGCTAAAAAAACGATTTCTACAGCTAAAAACGTTTCAATTTTTATTTTTTGCGGACCGATACTGGGCATGCGAAAATATATATTCAGTTTATTGTTTTTGCTTATAGTTTTATTACTATACCCAAAAAACTTAAATCACTTACATTAGAGCCAATCCCAACCTTTGGTGCTTGAGCAATGCTTCGTTGAGCTTCAGCAACAGCCTTCAAAATTAAAGTTTTGTTGGCTTGTGCCGCATTTGGTGGCAAAGTTCGTGGTTTCACTCTAATCATACTCCTAACTTCTTTGGAAACCCCCACTTCCTCAGTCTCTTCAGGTTTATCAGGAATTGATACTTTAGACTGTACACCTAGTCTGCTTAAAATACCCTACAAAAGATTTTATAAATTATGATTATTATAATATGTGATGTGGAATGAGAAAATATATTTTTTTAAATTATAATGTGTTTAATTACCCCTTTTTTCCTTAATTCTCTGTCATCACTATTAACTTTAGTGTTAGTTTTTTTAATAAGACTTTTTACTTGAGATCTAACATTGGGGGATTTCACCCTTCTAGATTTTCTGTCGGGAGAATTATTTCTAACGTCCAAAGGTCTTTTTCCCAATCTACTAAGAGCTGACTGTTTTTTTCGAGGTGGGGTTTTAATTTCATCGTCGTCGTCATTATCAAACGTAATTCTTTTACGTTCAGCTTTTTTTTCTGTTTCTTTATTTTCAGTATTGGCATCAGCATCTGTGTTGTCGGTGTTTTGGTTTGGAATAATTATATTTTGTTGGACTACAATGTTTCGAGTCTTTGCTTTGTTTGCTATTAATTCATCTAAAAGTTAAAAATAAATCTATTAATGGAACTAAATTCCTTATTTGTTGTTGGATAATTGTCCAAATTTTTTAAAACTTTGTTTTTATTTAAAAGAGCATCTATAAACATTTAAGTTCTGAATAAGTAAAATTTGGAAACATGACAAAAAAAATGTACAGCAATATCCAAAACATAATTTTGTAGAAAATTTACCACTTTTAAAAATTTGTTTAAAAAAACAACATTTAATGATATAGGTCACAGCAATTTTAAGTGCATATTTTTGTACACATTTTTTCGTCTATAAAAAGGTCTTTTTTCATATATTATGAAGAAAAAAATGTATCTAATAAATGAATATAAAGCTAATACATATTTTAATAGTGAATTATAGGCTATAAAAAAAAGGTATTCTGTTTTTGTTGTAATAATTCATTGGCATAAAATTTAATTTTGTAATGAATTCCTTGATTTTTATTTCTATCTAACCATTTAAAATTTCAATATAGGGGCCATAGGAAAAACAAATTCGATGAAAATGTAGATAAATGTATATGCGAATTTTACTTTTTTCAAAATTACCCGGAATATCGAAGTTATAAGGATTTTTGGTTTTGACAGGTTTTTAGTTTTTTCGAATTATTTGAGAACCGCAGATTTTTCTTTTAATTTTCAAATGCCACTTAAATAAACCTGTAATTATGCAACTTTTCTCTAATTAAACTGATCTTGTATCTTTTTAAAAAGATATTTAATTAAATACAAAATTATAAATATTAACTTGTATTAGGTACTTGTTTATAGGAAAAACATGAATTACTAATTTTACTATAAAACTATAAATTCCAGTAAAATAATAAACAATTCTAAACTTATATTTTAAGAATGTCAAATTATGCTAGAACCATTAAATATGTGAAAATAACTTAAAACTGTAAACTACTAAATAAGTAAATTTTAAGTTTAACATGCATAACAAGCTTAACAACAAAAACAACTAATCAAGTTAAAATAAAATGTCATACTTAATTCAGTTTTAATTTTCAGTACATCCTGTTCTTCATCTTCGCTGTGAACAAGATCTCCTAACCTACTTTTTACATTGACTATTTGTTTTTCGATTTCCTCCAGTTCCTTATTTTTATTCACCTCGGAAAGTAATGGGATGTCAAAACCATCATCACTATCACTTTTGTTACTACTTTTTCCCAATCTGCTTTTAATATTAATAGGCAAATTATCCGTCAGGCACTTTTCTTCTTTTATATTGCCCTTTAGTTTTTTCGACTTTTTATCTTTTTTTTCTTTTTTTATGCTTAAATTTTCTTCATCTTTGCTTCCTTTTCTTTTAGAAACTTTCTTATAAATCTCTACAAACACAAATATGTATAAATCAATTTTTTTTCTATTTTATTGTTTATTATTATTATTTATTTCAACCTTTACTTGATGAAACTCCATGTCACTAATGTATAAAAAACAGTTTATTGTGTTTATACATTGACATTTTGATTAATTTTTATTATATTATCTTAAAATTTTGAAGAAAAAACAATTATTCCTCTCAGAGGAATCCTCTGATAAGTTTATGTACTAAGTTGGTGCTTATGAAATTAAAATTATACGACTGCTAATAAAGTACAAGCAATTAAATACAATTAATACATAAATAAATTGGGATTTTATGTATCATTAATGTATTGTTTGTTAATCCAGTCTTTGAATGCTCAAGAGGGAAATGAAAGAATCACATGTTTTAAAAAATTAAATTTTTAATTTAGCGAATTAAAAATATGTGTTTAGCAAAAAAATACAAATATAAGAAGCAAATATTTTAAATTAACTAAATAAAAAATATCCGTTTTGCATAAAAATTAAAACTACCTAATTTTAAATTAGGCTAATTAAAAATGTGTGTTTAACAAACAAATACAAATATAAGAAACAGATATTTTAAATTTATGAAATTGAAAATATGAGTTTGGCATAAGAATTAAATCTAATTTTAAAATATCTGCTATAATATTATTAATTCTCAGGATAAAAAAAATCTTGTGATATTTTTTATCTAATTGAAATTATCACTCTAGGGTTACACATAAAAATAATTCCTGAATAAAAAACGGCGCCTGATAGACTTAAGACCCAATTGGGTCAGTTTTTTTGGTTTTAACTCGGAAACTATTACTCCTAGCAATAAAACCATTTATAAGATTAATTCTATTTATTTTTTTTTGCCATCTCGCATGGTTTTCGAGATATTTGCGCTTAAAATTAACTAATTTTGTTTTGCCCAATTTGACTAGCTAACTCCTTAGCCCTTTGCGCGTATATCCCGAAAAAAATCTTGTAGAACATTTTGTATAAAATGGTCCTATTGATAGGACCGAGGATAGGACCCATAGTAGGGATAGTTAGTATGTTTACCACCTAAGGAGTCAAAACAAAGTCCCAAAGTCAAAAATTGTGATCCTTTTATTTTACTCTACAACCTTTTACTAAGTTACTAAACTAATTTATTAAGCTTGGTTATGTTAATTTTTGTAGAAAATTTAAGGATGAATATGAAAGAAATTTATGCAGGATTTCAATGAAAATTTAGTTCTTTAATACATAAAATAATTCATTTAGGTCTTTTTTTAAATAAAAGTGATATGCATAAAAGACTTTCACCAAAATATATTACTGATAAAATTGTGTTCTGCGACAAACCTGGATTGGTAACGGTGACTTCTTTAAGCTTTTTTAAAACAATATGTAGCCACTCAACGAATATGGTTGTTTTGGTTTTTAGAAACAAATTTAAATCTTCATTCATTTGTGATTTTGATCTTTTATTAGCCACCATTACCATAATATAATCTGGAAGTTCATCATCTACAAATATCACAGAAAATATGTTAAAAAATACATATAATACAGCAAATATATCACTTACCCACATAACATTCAAGCTCAGTTAGTTTTGCTTTGATAGCAGACTAAAATATAAACAAATTGGGAGTATTATAACCTAACTTAAAAACATTTGCGTATTTTTATTAAAATAACAAAGCTTACCCTCATTTTCTGGCCAACTTCGGCCCCAACAGCATCCATTTTGTTTTAAATTGTTTAAATATATTTTAAATTAGTTTATAAATACATTTTTTATTTATCAGAAATATAACCTAATTCGCCATATACGTCAATTTCAAGTGGCAATTTTGAATATTTGACAGCAAACGAATATAGGCAACACAGATAACATATAAATGCCCTTTAGGAGCGCCAGACATGGTATTATATTGTATTCATGATTCGTTGTATCATTTATTGTTTGTATTGTATTAGGTACCTAGGTATATTAAAGTAAAGACTTAAAAAACTAAACCGAACGTTGGGGCTGTGAAAGTTATATAAAAGCATTTTTCCTATTGGCTCACGTGGAAATGTTGCTGTTTGCGTTTAAACAGCTAGCGCGCTGCAGAGCTTAAAAATCAACTTGTCCAAATTGGAATGTCCAATTGGACAAGTTTATTTTTGCACCTAAGCTGATTTTTTGTACCATACATCTTATTGATACCTTTTCTTATTATTTACAAGAAAATAATAGAAATTCCCCTATTGTAAATTACCATTAATTAGAATCCAATAAAAATAAGTAATTGGTTTGAAATGTGTTTTGGCGCTATGAATCACCAATTCATTCCAGTTGAATTTCTATTGGTAATTTCTAATGAAGTCAGCGGCTTGGATTGGGAAATACGAATCCATGCCTATGCTCTCCCCACACAGAACACGCTATCCAATGGATATCCAATGGCTATCCCAATGTCCATATAACATCCATGCCTTTTACGATATCCATTGGATATCCAATGGATATCCATACTGGATGTTCAAAAAAAAACAAAAACATTAAAAATATTTTTTTCTTTTTTAAAATAGCCCCTTATAGGATAAATTTATGTAATGATTAATAAATATGATTTAAATCGTTATTAACCCAATTTCAACAAAGTATCTCTAATATATATCCAATGGATAACTAATGTATGTCCAAAGTATATCCACTGTACATCTAATGTATATCCACTGGATATCCACTGGATATCCAATGGATATCCATACTGGATGTTCAAAAAAAAAACAAAAACATTAAAAATATTTTTTTCTTTTTTAAAATAGCCCCTTATAGGATAAATTTATGTAATGATTAATAAATATGATTTAAATCGTTATTAACCCAATTTCAACAAAGTATCTCTAATATATATCCAATGGATAACTAATGTATGTCCAAAGTATATCCACTGTACATCTAATGTATATCCACTGGATATCCACTGGATATCCGATGGATATCCATACTGGATGTTCAAAAAAAAAACAAAAACATTAAAAATATTTTTTTCTTTTTTAAAATAGCCCCTTATAGGATAAATTTATGTAATGATTAATAAATATGATTTAAATCGTTATTAACCCAATTTCAACAAAGTATCTCTAATATATATCCAAATGTAATGTATGTCCAAAGTATATCCACTGTACATCTAATGTATATCCACTGGATATCCGGTGGATAACTGATATGGATATCTTGTATATATACTTGTATGTATACATGTGGGATTTTGTGATGGTTTAAACTAGCATATGTAAAAAAAACGACTTTACGTTAAATTGATTTTTTGCCAAGAGCTACGAAATTTTTAATTTTGAAATGTTCACTTTACCCAGATAATAATATTTATATATTAATAATATTATTTCTGTTAATAATATGACTATGACAGTCTGCAATACAATAAAAAATTACTTAAAAAAGTCCTTTTTGTTTATTATTGTATTTCATATATGTACTACGCACGCGCTGAATTTGAGAATCTTCAGTGTTGCCGGTTATAAGCAAAATAACTAAACGAAATATATTTCCGTACTTTATTAAGTTTTAATAAATAAATTAAATAAATTTAAAATAATTATTCACCACATTTATGTCAAATAGGTATACTAATTAATTAAGTATTAAAGATTTAATAATATAACCGCCATTTTGATGAGCTTTCTGAAATTATTTAAACGTCTGACAACACTGCCGGCGAACACAGAAGATAAAGAAGCGTCCTTTTTCTATGGTAGCGTCGGTTAAATATGATTCATTCCACCCTGCGACAGATTGTTATATGTTTGTCATAAAGTTTATTGTTTTGTGATTATTTGTTTGAGGTCTCTAGTGGTAAGTAAATATGTGTTTATTTTAATTAAAACCATAAAACATTTTATTATTGTGAATATCTTTGGGGTCGAGGGTAACAAATGGCATTTTTTACACTTTCCGCGTAGCTCGGTAAGCTAATCGACTCTTTTGGGCCGTTGTATGGTTGGATAAAACCTACCACTGAGTGTGTCTCGTGTGCATACATTTGCACCGCCGCGGCGCACAGTGAGGCCACGTCTTTTTATAGACGGTAGATGTCACCATATTACCTTGCCGCTGCATCTCGCCGCTGTCCAGGTCGCCCAACTAGTATATAGGTGGGCGGTTGCTTGGCTTGAAGCGTGTCTCTCGGCACCAACTGTCTGACACTGATGAGACCCAACAGGTCGAAACAGTCTGTCTGTCAGTGTTGGTGGGCATGGTACATTAGTCATTGTGACATGTCAACCCGAGAGATGCGTTTCGGGCCAGGCACGGTGGAGAGATGTGTCGGCTTGTGTAAAATTTGTCATTTTGGTTGCCTAACTACTGGCGTAGTAGTAAAACCTTGGCATTTTTTAACAAATGGGCTGATGGATTGGCCAAATTTTGGGGATCATAAGGGAGACAGGTGAAATAGGCCCTAAATGATTAGGCTGATAAAAAGGCAAATGGACAGCTGGAGGAGTGATGGCAAGCACTTCTTTAGTTATATGTAGTTTTCTGTTCTATTTTATGTTTTCATAAAAATAAATATTTAAATTAAAGAATAAGACTTTTATTTTAAAACCCAATGTTATTTATTGAAAAGTAAATATCCATTGATTCACCATATCCAATACAGATGACAACCATATTGCATACAATACTATATCCACTGGGTATCCATTGGATATCCACACTATGTCCAGGAGTGTCGGACATTTATATATCCAATGGTTATCCATTGGATATCCATACAATCTCCATATTGAATACAGATTACAACCTTATTGCATACAATACTATATCCACTGGGTATCCATTGGATATCCACACTATGTCCAGGAGGGTCGGACATTTATATATCCAATGGTTATCCATTGGATATCCCGGATATCCTATGTATATCCTGGATATCCATAAAAGAAATCCATTGGATATCCATTGGATGTAATTGTTCCGTGTGGGTCTATTGGCTAAATCCAATAGAAATGCACATGCAAACCCATTCCAACCAATTAAAACCAATTAATATTTTTAAATTTGGATTAGAAAATACCTACCAGTTTATTTTTCATTCAAAAATAATTTTAGATCCCAGAAGGATAACCGGGTAAAAACCAGAATTCATTTTTCACAGAAGAGACAAAAAATTTATTGTTACTGAGTAATTTTATTTCTTTATTATTTTTTTTTGTGATATATATATGTATGTATTGATACATATAACTTACTATCACAAAAAAGTAATAAAATAAAAATAAAATTACTCGGTTATAATCATTTTTTTGTCTTTCTTGCAAAGGATGTTTGTAGGCATGGTCGAAGTCGATATTGTTTATGTTAATTTTTTTTATTTTGTCCGCTGTGACAACCTTTCTTACACCATCGTCGCTAAACCTTACATTACTTTTAATATACCGGGTGTATCTGAGAACAGGCGCACCCCTGTAACTTTTTTATTTATAAAGATAGGCACATGAAATTTAGCATGGTTAATTAGGATATAAAATGCCACTTATAAGAGTACAAAATGAATTTTTTGAACTTCTGCTTTCGCCGGAATTGATACCAACTTTCGATTTTTAAATGGAATGCCCTATATATTTTTACATATTTGGAATCCTGAGGAAATTCTGAGTCAGACAGCATCCTCAAATTGACATTTTGACGTTTCGTCATCAGAAAATGTATCATCATAAAGATCAATCTAGAGTGCTTTAAACTATCTTATTTTCTTCTAATGGATTCAAAATGGAACTTTCCTTGGAAAGTTGTTATTCAGCTATTTCCAGCAGTCTAAACTTGTCAAAATTTATTTTTCTCAAATAGTTCAAAGCACTCTAGATTGATATTCATGATGATGCATTTTCTGATGACGAAACGTCGAAAGGTCAATTTAAAGGATTCTAAATATGTAAAAATATATAGGGCGTTCCATTTAAAAATCGAAAGTTGATATCATTTCCGGCGTAACCGGAAGTTCAAAAAATTCCTTTTGTACTCTTATAAGTGGCATTTTATATCCTAATTAACCATGCTAAATTTCATGTGTCTATCTTTATAAATAAAAAAGTTACAGGGGTGCGCCTATTCTCAGATACACCCGGTATAAGTACACTACCAACACTATAGTGTTGGTAGTGCCTATAGGCACTTAACACAGAAATCGACTAATAAAAAAAACCGCTAATAAATGGCGTCCAAAGACTTGTTTTTTCTTTATGATGGCGTCTCAACCTCGTTAATTTTGCCAAGCTACACGAGAGCTCTCGAGGGCTTGCGATATTTGTATTTTATTGGGAATAACCAATTAGCAGATTTTTTAAATCTTACACTGGGAATGCCCAATTAAATTTAATTGGAAATTACCTATAGCTATGGCTTTATCCAATCGAAACCAATAAAAACCATTTGAATCCTAATTGGACTTTTCCATCATGGAAAATACCAGTAAAAACCAATTTCTGTTTTATATCGCGCCAAATTAAATCCAGTAAGTCCAATTCAGACCCATTGATACCAACCAATACTTCAATTGGTTTCTATAGGAATTAATCGGTCATTTACAACGATCGTTACCGCTTGATAGACTACTTTAAAGCACTAGTACTAGCACTAGCACGTGCTACCTATGGGGAAGGTATAGGTATACTAACAAAGTGGTGTCCTTAACTTTCAAAAATGTGTGTGACAATTAATTGTCGTTTTGCATTTGCCTGATATAACATATGTAAAAATTTATACATGAAATATATTTCATACCTACTATAACAGGTAAAAAATCCTTAAGTAGCTTCTACT